AGTCATTTCCTCTGTTACCCTGGGAGTCTCTCAGCAGCATTGTCTAGTAGCACAGCCAGTTTGTCCTCCTGGGTATGTTCACCCAGGGAAGATGTTAGTAGCCCTCTATGTGAGGTGGCCTGGTGGGACCAGGGGCCCAGCCTGGCCCGGGCAGAGCAGCCTCTGGGACCATTTCTCTTAACGATTAGCTCTTTTGTCTTGGGCCTCAGGGTTTCAGTGACAGACAGTAAACCTCTGTGTTCTAGTGTTCCAAAGCCACCCTTTTATTGTTAGCAGTATCACATGCCTAGAGAGACACAGTTGGGCCACCAGAGCCTTGGGCTTGATTCCAAATTCTTGCACATTCAGCCTGGTATTCTCTCTCTTCATTTTGTTTTCTGACTTTTGTTTTTATTAGTAGCATTAGATAGAAGATTTTCTTACATTCTGAGTAATCTTTTCATTTTCTCGACAGTGTCCTTTGAGTCACAAAAGTGTTAATGTTCTTGAAATCAACTTATTTTTCCTTGGTTGCTTATGTTTGTGTCACTTCTAAAACCCAATCCCTAACTCAGGGTCCCAAAAATTTAAACCTATGTCTTCTTCTAAGAACTTAATAGCTTTATGTCTCACAATTAGGTCTTTGGTCCATTTTGAGATGATTTTCAACATGGTGTAAGGGAGATGGGAAAATGTCAGCTTACCTGTGCGGCTAGACAATCATGGCAACGCCATTTGTTGAAAAGACCATTCTTTCCCCCTACTGAATAGTCATGGCATCCTTGTCAAAATCAATTGATCACAAGCATGTGGGCTTATTTTTGGATCCCAATTCTATGCCATTGATCTATGTCCGTCTGAGTGCTAATACCCACTCTCTGGATTATTTTGTCATTATACTAGGTCTTTGAATTAGGAAGTGTGTCCTCCAGCTTTGTATTTGATGCTCAAGATCAGTTTAACTGTTCCTGAACTTCCCTTGAATTTCCATATGAATTTTTGGCTCTGTTCAGCTCTACGATAAGTCCTAGCAATAACAATACTAAGTTGGGATTTGTTGTAGAGTGCCCAAAGGATCCGTTCCAGATATGAGCACTTCTGTAGTACCAACATGGTACTCCCTGAGCTTGGCCCTCAGGGAGAGGTAAGAGAGTTGCTCAAAATGCAAGATGGAAGAAGGAGTCCCCAGACCCCATAATTAATGACTAGCAGAAGAAAATAACGGGTGTTTTCAGTTCCCTAGAGAACACAGTGCAAGTGGCACCCTGGGGTGAAAGGATAATCCTAGCTCAAGAGCTGAGGATGGCCCGCTGGTTTCAGTAATGCTGCAGTTGCTCTGAGGCAGGAAGAACATGCCCTGGCTGCTGGGTCCAGGGGACATGTATGCCACCAATGCTCACCATCTTGTTGCGTCCACACTCCAAGCAGGGCCTAACCGTGGTGTTTCATGCAGAAGAGTTGAGGGGGACGTGGAAGTGCTCACTCTGGACTCTTCCTCTGCTCTCTTCCTATTGCTCCACTGGGGTCGTAGGAGCTTTTGCCTCAGGGATTCTGTTTTCAGATCTGAACAGTGTGTGTCCATTGAGGTTCCTGTCAGCTCTAATTCAGTCATGTGCAAAAGAATTATTTGGGACTTCTGTGTGCTTTTCCTGGCAGTTCCAGTGGCTGAATAGGCCCCTCCCTGCTGTATTGGGAACCTTTATCCCAAAGAAAGGGCGAGTGTCTTCAGATAAAGGTTCTAGAGGAACAGTTACAGGCTGGATCTTGGGACAGTGGAGGGTTTAGAAAGTCCCACGACTTGAATGGTTTTAGTAAACCTCAGCGACTCAGTGCCCAGCCCCTCAAGCCGTCTGCAAGCTCCCTTGAAGCCTTGGGTTTTCTGCTGTCATCCCACACCTCCCCACCACATCCCTTCACTGTGCCCACCCATGCCCTTCACGGTGCTGACACCAACAGGCCTTCTTACTTTGAGGTTGAAGCACTTTTTGCTTCCCTCTTGCTTTTCAGCCAACTCCAAACCGTCCTGGAGGGGCTCAGTGCTCTGCAGCACTGCCAAGCGTAATTGTGGGCGGTGGACTCAGGCCTGGGACCTTGCTGGGTCAGCAGGCTGGCTTCTGTTTCGTGGGTGCCGGCACAGGTCACAGCCTCCTGGGTAAGGCACAAGGACCTCACTACCCACACCCAGGAGTGGTGCTCGTTTGCTCCCCTGCCCTGAGTCCTGCAGGAACGACTGGGAGGGGTCCAGGAGAGTGGTGCCACGCGGGGATTTTCATCCCACGGGGGCCTATGTTACCTCATCCTTCAAAGGCTGCAAACACAAGGCTAAGAAATGGCCCAGGGAAAGGGCATGGAATTTGCAGCCATTGTAAGCCCAGCAGAGCATGCAGGATACTTGGGCAGCTTTGTGTGTGGACTGTGCAGCCTGACAGTGCTCACAAGCCGAGAGTCCAGGACCCTGTGCTCACATCAGCCACAGGTGCTCTTATCCCCAGGCTCTGGATTCTTTAGGAACAGAGCACTTTGGAAACCAGATGTTTTCATTTGGAGGAACATGAGAGGTTTTGTTTGTTTGTTTGTTTCATTATTTACTTTCTCAGACTCCTTGAAAATATTCAGCCATGCCAGGCACAGTGGTGCATGCCTGTAATCACAGCGACTCAGGAGCCTAAGGCAGGAGGCTCAAAGTTCAAGGCCAGCCTCCGAAAGTTAGTGAGGCCCTTTGCAACTTAGCAAGACCCTGTCTGAAAAATTTAAAAATGGCTGGAGGTGTGCCTCAGTGGTTAAGCACCTCTGGGTTCAATCCCTGGTACCTCAAAAACAAAACAAACAAACATAAAATGTTCAGTCACATGTTGGGGATTATTTAAATTGGCAATTTCCCATTCCAACTTATTTCCCAACTCACCCCCTTATCTCAGGCATACCCATCTGCAAAAGAAAGGACAAAACTCCCTTTATTTTGCTTTTGAGTCTGCTCAAAATATCATTGGCAAGTGTAAAGTCTGCATTTCAAGTCACCAGTTGAGTCATATTTACTTTGTTTATAATTTTTTTCTTTATTCAACTTTTTCTTAAGGGAAAGCCTTCCAAAGCAGCCTTGTGTGCAGTAGTCCCTGTTTTTCTGCTTCTCTTAAGGCTGTTTTTCTGATTATGCTCACCTAGGCTAGGTGTTTAAATCTTCCCCTTGTACTCTATTGTTTGCTGCTTTTCATCTTTTTTTCCAATCCAAGATACTAATAATTAAATGAATTATTAGTGTCATGGGCACAGATCTGATCACTTAGGCCAATAATTATCCAAAAAAAAAATAATAATAATAATCCTGCATTCTGAAGCAAACGCTTGTCCATCTCCTGCGGTTCAGAATTTAATTGACCCTTTGTAGCACTCGGCTTGTGGCCACGCTTGAATTTCAACATGGTAACTCTGGTTTATGGGTGAACTGTTCTAGTGGAATTCTGTACAGTGTGGTTCTTCCTTTCCTGAGCTAAACCTTAGGGAAGAGGGGCTTGTTGAGAAAAGGTCAGGGTCCGGAGCAGAGGGAGGGAGGGAGGGTTGGCAGAAGTGGAGCTAGAAGAAGGGGGATTCAGAAGACGGGGAGGAAGCTGGGGCCGAGCTGACTATGGAAAGAGGGCATTGCCTCCTGCCTTTCTGGAGCTCCTGCTACGCACATCAGCTTATCATTCTGAGGTGGCAGAAGCTGCCATCATGACCCGCGTTGCTCCCAGGTGGTGTGGAGGTAGTGCCTGGGTTTTGTGGCAGCCAGCAGAGGGCAGTTTTCCATTTACTGACCAAGCAGAGTTGGGGTTACAGTCTAAATTTGTAAGGATGCTGCTCTTATCAGGAAGGCCCACCTTGTCGACTTTGGTGAATATGCCTCTGACCGTTGGCCTTGGGGGCCACCTTGCACTGGGGTGGAAGCGAGCAGGGCCACATCTCTGTCTCCTCCCCCAGGAGCACAGGACAGGTGGAACAAAGCAGGGGAACATGGGGCAGCCATGCACTCCAAACCGAAGAGATCTCTTTGAGGGCTGGGGCTGTAGCTCAGTGGGTATCCCCAGCAGTACAAAAAAAATAAAAATAAAAACTCAGAGCTCTATGTGACAACATCAACAAGTGTGAGCACTTAAGGCACAGCAGGTCATCCCTTGTTGAGCTGCACTCCCCCAGAAGCCTCTCTGAAGGGTGGCATCTGCAGGCCCAAGGCTCCACAGGACCCCAGGGGACATCTGGGAGGAGCCTCCATAATTGCCAAAGCAGGAGATCACCATTGGTACCTTAAACAGGCAGACAGAATTGACTGCTTAAGCAAGCGAGGGCTGCGTTTCCAGCAAGATGCTGAGTGTCCCGAGGGGAAAGCCAGATTTGGCAGTATCAGGATCAGGTCCGTGAGTCTTATATGAGTATGGCCTGTGCCAGCTGCAGAGAGCATGTGGCTCCATCTGGTGACTGACTCACTGTGGGACGCTCTTATGATCTGGCTTTCAGGGCCACTTGTCACTCACTCACCATGAGATGTCTGCCAGATCAGTTCTGATGTTGATGTTGCAGGTGGCTTGGAACTACCGGTCTTTTCCTAGGAATCTGGGGACTTTTTCAAACAAACCCTCAGGAAGTTGTGAAGAGCTGCTGTGGACATCTTTAGACACCCAAGGGGTGTGTTGGGCTGCCCCATCCTGTGCCTCCAGGCCAGGAAGCCCATGTTCATTTGTAGCTGCCCCTCTCCCCAGACAGGCGCTGTCCTGAGGGCCCATCCCTGTCCCCGGAAACTTCCTCTGGGAATGGGTGTGAGCCACCTCACAGACAGCTGGAACCAGTGTCTGACGCACTAGGTCGGCTCTCTGGGGCTAGCGTCCAACCTGGCCAAATGGAACTGGACACTGCCACCTCTGAGCTCCTTCCCACCAAGACAGTCTGGCCCTGTGAGGAAGAGCTTTGGAAGACCCCTGCTCGGGGCCCTGTCAGCCTTAGGAAGCCTCCACCCTGGCCTCTCAGGCCCTCTCTGTCTTCCTTCTCCTCAGAGACAGGCAGGTGCCTTTCCCGAGCCCAGGCCTCTGCCCAGGCCCATCTGTCCTGCAGCAAGGTGGGCAGTGTGGAGAGCTGCCTTCTTTCCTGCCCAGCCCACACCCTCTTCGTGCCAGGTAACCCAGGTGGTCCCAGGAAAGGGAGGTACTGGTGGGGGGCTTCTTCCTTGGGTCAAGGTCCTGATCTCTGCAACTCTCTGGGAAAGAGCCCCACCAGGGATGAGGGAGCCCTGGTCACAGTGCCCCTGGGCAACTGTTTGGGCCTCCATAGGTCTAGGCTTCTTCCTGCCTGGCCACTTACCTGTGTGCATGTGGCAGAAATAGACTGACTTACCGGTCAGTCCTGACCTTCTTGTTCAGCAACCTCTTGGAGGCCTCGAGAATCTGAGGCCCTGGAAGGGAGGTGCACGCAGGCCCACCTCACCTACTGGCCTCTCCACAGACTCAGAAAACAGCTACGTCCTGAGCTGTGGTGTTCCGGGTCTCCAGGGCAGGACACTACCGAAACGCAATGGCACCAGCTCTGGCACCGGACCTGGCTGCTCAGGTAGCCCCTGACTGTCCACACTTTGCACACCTAGGTGGCCCCTTGACTCTCTGGTATGTGGAGAGGGACATGGGGAGGGAGGGACACAGCCCCAGGGGAGAGTTTCCCAGTCTGGGTCCTTCCAGGCCTGGCTCAGGGTACTGGAGACAAGGCAGGCCTGGACCTAGATGCCAGCAGCCTGAAGGTCGAGTTCCAGCCCAGGGGCACTGGCTTTTTGGATCTGAGGTCGTAGTAGCAGTAGCTGAGTGACTTCAAAGTGCTTCTGTGTGTACAGATCTCAGGCTCTGTTCTCGGGGAGTGTGTGGCCTCTCCTGAATGACTCGGTGGGCAGCCCCGCCTCAAACGTTGCCTGAGGGGTGCCAGGCACATTGTGCTCCCTCCCTTGGGACCAGCCCTGCCCAGCAGCCTCTGTTCAGCGTGGGAGAGGGTATCCCCAGCGCTTTTTTGATCCTTGCTGTCAGAGTGGCGGGGGCGTACTCAGGTGCGCAGAGGGTGTAAAAGGCGTGATTCGGAGCCTGTTGGAGCGCAGGACTGTTGAGTCCAGAGAGCTGGGATCTGCTCTCTGAAGGACTCTGCAGTTCTGGTCTCCATGGTATTTCCTTTTCTTGCTCCCCTCTTCCCTTCTGCCTGCTTTCTAAAATCTCCAGCCACAACTCGGGCCTTGGCCATGAGACAGGCGGAGGCTGGGAATCCTTCCCCTCTACAGAAGACTCTGGCCAGATGCCCCTGGGCTTGAGCTCGACCCACTGTCCCTGATTTCACCCTTTCGGGCCTTGCAGGGAGAGGAGGGGGTGGGGCAGGGGAGGTTCCCCAGGCCCTGGGAGGGCCATGGGACAGAGTTGCCCACACCCAGACCCACCCCAACCCCAGGTAGATTCATTCTGTGGCAGTCCCCGTCCCCACCACTTCCTTGCCATAGGAGAGAATTTTGGCTTTTTCCAGATGCCTCCAGTGCCCCCATCAAGCAGAAGGCCCGCTTCAAGATCAGAGATGCCAAATGCCACCTCCGGCCCCGTAGCCGGGAGCGAGCAAAGGAGACCCCACGGCAACCACTGCTGGGTGAGTAGGTGACCCAGGGGTGGTGGAGGAACCCCCAAACCTGGGACTGGGGCCCAGAGTCCAGCAGGGTGGATTTCTAAGCATCCCATCTGTGGCCCTCCACCTTGCCGCCCCCACCCCTGGCCCCTTACATTGAGTGGGAAATACCCAGCATCCTGAGGGCCACTGTCTCTGCCACACCAGGGTTAAGTGACACATGCACCCAGCAAGGCCTTTCTGCGTAGCCTGGTTGTCCCTAATTGAAGGAGCTGCAGGGTTTACTCAGTAGTTCTTTCTCGAGAGAGTGTGACCAAGAAGGACTTCCAGGTTGAGGGCTAGCAGAGAACAAGCTTTCCAAGAAGGGCCCAGCCGGGAGCTTCCAGCTCTAGTTCCACGAGACTCCTTCTGAACCTGGTCTAAGTGCTCTGCATCGACAGGCCTGCCTGGGGCACTGGCCACACCCTCAGCGGCCTGAACAGGTGCAGCAGCTTGGCCTGTGCAAGAGGGGCGCCTCTTCTGGCGGCGCTGTGGTGGCTCGGAGGGCTGGTTCCTGCATGAGGCCCCAGCAGCCTGGCCTGCTGCAGCTCCGCTCCCCGTCTGTCCCTGCTATTGGGCATGGAGGGCCCTGCAAGGGGCAATCCAGTGCAGGCTGTGCACAGGGCTGGGATTGCCATAGTGTTCCCATCCTTGTCAGAAAACTGCCACGTGACGTTCCTGACCCTCAAGTGCGACTCCTCCAAGAAGAGACGCCGCGGCCGCAAGTCCCCATCCAAGGAGGTGTCCCATGTCACTGCAGAGTTTGAGGTGGAGATAAAGATGGAAGAGGCCTCAGGTGGGTGAAGAGTTCTCTGATGGCTGCAAGGACCTGAGGAGCAGCTGCAGGGCAGGATGGGGGTCCTCCACCCCCAGGCCAGGACCACAGGTAGCAGAGGCTGGTGAGAGGCTGGCAGGGGGAAGGCCCTGTCCAGCATGGAAGAGGCGGCTCAGAGAGCCCCGGAGACAGACGGCCACACTCCCACCCTCCTGCCCTGCCTGGGGCTGGAAGGGGAAATGTGTGCAGCCCCCAGAATGGTCACGCCACGGACTGACTCCCAGCTTCCTGAGAGGCTGGTGGTGCTGGCTGCTTCACACCAGCATGTTCCTCTTGGTGTTGGACTGAGGCCAAGGAGGTGAGAGTGGTCAGCAAATGTATTCAGTGTATGCCTGACCTGGGCGTAGACACCATGGAAAAAGAGACCAGCCATGGCCCCTGCCCTGGCAATGCTCCCAGCTGCAGGGAGGCAGACAGGCCTATTAGCTGCCCAGAGCCAGGTGACACCCTGAGTAGTGGGGGTATGGGAACAAGCAGGGTGTGGAGCTAAGGTGACTCCCAAGTGCAGGGCTCAGGAAGGCTTTCAGGAAAGGTGACATTTGAATTTGAATCAGTTTGAAATCAAAGTTTACATGCATACTTGTGATCCCAGTGACTCAGGAGGCTGAGGTAGGAGGATTACAATTTGAGGCCAGCCTCAGCAACTTAGCAAGACCCTTAGCAACTTAATGAGACTGTGTCTCAAAATCCAAAATAAAAAGGACTGGCTCAATAGTAAAGCACCGCTGGGTTCAATCCCCAGTACCAAAAAAAAAAGTTAATGGGGTAGAAGAGGTGGCAAGGAAAGGCATTCAGGCAGAGGGAATAGAACGGACAAAGGCAGAGAGGTCGGAGGGTAGGGTGTGAGAGGAGGGCAGGGCAGCTGGAGGTGACACTAACAGTGTTGGGGCGTTGGGGCTGAGGCTGGCAAGGTGGGCGGAGCCAGACCTCGGGGCATCCTGGATTCAAGACAGAGAGTTAGACACTGCTCTGGGCTCAGTCACAGTCCTCAAGAGTGTCTGAGCTCCCACGCAGTGAGTGGTGCCCTGGATGACATGTGGCAGCGGACACAGGCCTGGTCTGTACTCATATCTGCGTCGGGCCTTGGGCAGATCCTCAGTCTCCCCAACTGCCTGTGGGGACTCGCCCCAGGGCTGCTGTGCAGATGGCTGAGGGGTCCGACAGGCCCACCCGGGGCAGGGTCTGGCACAGGGAGCCTTCTGGAGAAGGTGGAGGCTCACCTGGCCGCGTTACTCTCTCACATGGTCTCTCCCACCAGACACCTGCGAAGCCGACTGCGTGCGGAAGCGAGCCGAGCAGAGCCTGCAGGCCGCCATCAAAACCCTGCGCAAGTCCATCAACCGACAGCAGTTCTACGTGCAGATCTCAGGCACTGAGTACGAGGTGGCCCAGCGCTCAGCCAAGGCCCTGGAGGGGCTAGGGACGTGTGGCACTGGCCAGGTGCTCCAGGACGGCAAATGTGGTGAGTCCCTGCCCGTGGCCACTCAGCCACCAACTTCCTTGTATGTGCAGCCCAAGCGAACCCCAGTGAACACACGGGAGACAGACTCGTGGGGGGACAGGATGCAGAGGCCTGCCCTGGAGAACCGTGGCCCTCGCATCATCTCTGTCATTTAAAGTGCACTCCCTGGTGCAGGGCCCTAAGCCTGCCATCCTCACCACAGTCCTGAAGGACACGGCACAGACGGGGACAGAACATGACGCAAGGCCACGCTGCAGTGACCAGAAAGGCGTCTTAAAGGCTTCCCAGAGAAGGGTGAACTGAGGCCCCTGGGCTGACAAGAAGCCAGGAAGCTGAGTCAGGGTCAGGGAGGGCGGAGTGTGATGGCCACAGTGCCCAGCACCACTAAGGGGTGGTCTGCAGGGAATGGGGAGGCCAGCCCCTAGCCCCCGTGGGCTTTGTCGGGGAGCCTGGAGGCCAGCCAGCCAGGGCAGGTGACCACACCTTGGGGATGGCTTGTGACGAGGGGTGAAGTCAGAGACGGCACTGGGGACCAAGCCGGGGCAAGCAGGAGTTGTACTGTTCTTGTGGGGAAGTAGGCTGTGAGCAAATCAGCCCACCCACAGGCACATGAGGCAGCCATAGACACAGTTCTGGGTTCTGCTGGGATGCCCTAGGCGAGGGACATCCAGGTCCACTCTCTGTGACAGGAAGGCTGATTGGAAGGAGGGTGGATGGGGGAGAGAGGAGGCCATGTAGGGGTGGGGGTCCTGGAACCAGGGCAGGGCAAATGAAGAGTCAGACAATTCCAGGAGTGCTCTGGCGAGTGGGGTTGGGCAGAGAGACTTCCGGGGTGACTCCAGGGCACGGCCACTCAGGTACTCACTGTAGATTTGGGATACTTACAGAGGGCAGTTGGGGAGGTAGAGAGTTCCCGCTACAGGGTGCCCTTGAGCTGTCCAGAGGCCTGGCCTGTACTCATATCTGCTTCATGGCCTTGGGCAGATCAGGCCTCTCAGATCCTCAGTCTCCCCATCTGCAGGTGGGTACTCGCCCCAGGGTTGAGGGGTCCGATAGGCCCACCTGGGGCAGGGTGAGTAGATAATCGGACCACAGATCTGAAGCCCAGAGAACAGGCTGGGCCAGGGTGCTGCTGGGAAGCAGGTGGCAGGTGTGCAGCTGTCGCAGGGACTTTGACCCAGACTGCAGTGGGCAGAACTGCTCTGACATGGGACACAGACCAGGGGCTCGGTGACATCACTCTCTTATTTGGAACAACTTACTTGGAAATCATTTCCAGCTTTCAGAAAGCAGAACAGAAACTTCCATTTTCCCTCACCCAAGTCCCCAACTGGGAACATTTTTCAGCATTTGCGGGAGGGTGGGGTGTAGGGTTCCCCATCCAGCTCATGCACCCCATTGCAACTCCGCCATCCTTCCGACAGCGTCCCTCTTCTCTCTCTGGTCCGAGCTCCTACCAGGAATGAGTGTCACTCTCCTGTTGCGCTTCTTCAGGCCCCTGAGCTCTGGGGCAGCCCCCTTGCTGGCCTCTCTGGGCCCAGGCACACCCTCGTTCAGTATGCCCACCAGCTGTTCCTCACCAGCTGGAGGCCTGTGTCTGCAGGACAACCACAGCCCCGAGGCCAGCTGTCCTGCCTGTCAGCAGGTACAGAGAGGCCTCAGCTCCTCTCTGGTGGCTGAGGAGTGTTTTCTGGGGACAGATGCTGAGTTGATTCCTGATGCTCCTTTGACTCCACCACCCCAGCTTCCTATGACCCCCAGCAAATCTCCCACCTGGTGGTGGCTGCCGCTGGGCTGTCCTGTCTGCGTTTCAGAGTTAGAGTCTCCTGTAAGGAAGAGCTCTGCCCTGCCCTGTCTGTGTGTCTGTCAGCAGGGGCCCAGAGAGTCCCCTAGTCCACACTGAGTTGTAATCCCTTCCAGCACCACTTAGGTCAGTGCTAATGCTCAGACTGTCCCCATTATGCACTGAGCACCCCTAAACTGGCCCCCGTGTCCTTCTGACTGGCCCCCGTCGCTCTGTGAGGCCTCCTGTCCTTTTTCGTGTCACAAGATGTGTGGGACTTCATTTGTACCTCCCTGCCTGAGCCTGGAACCAGCCAAATCCCCAGCTCCTGTGAGAGGAGAGGGACATGCAGAGACCAGCCCCTAGAGCGCTCATTGCTGAGGGAGCAGCATTGCCACAGGCCCTCCCATGAGGGCACTGGAAAGTGTAGGCATGTCGCACGGGCTCCTCCCCAGGTGTGTGTCTGAGAGAACACCTCACGCTGTGCAGTCGGCCCTTTGAAGCCCCGGGCTCTCTCCATCCCTCACAGCCTGTGTGGGAACACCTTCTCAGCCGTGGAGACATGGCTTCCTTTCCCCTTAACTTACCCGCCTCAGTTTCCTTATTTCCTCACATTTTCCTGCTGGCCCAACACCGCCCATCACGTAGACTGTCCCTTCAGCCTCTGTCCAGGCCCCTGGCCCATGCCCGTGTGCAGTTTTCAAGGCTCCACTGCCCATCCTTGGGGCCAGATCCTCCTGCAGCAGGAAAAGGAGAGACCGGGAGCTTGGTTTGGGGTGAAGTGGCTTGGGTGTCCAGCTGAAGAGCCCCAGGAGGCAGCTGGTGACAGGTTAAGTGGGTGGAGGACAGGACGTGGAGGGGAGAAAGAGCAGGGCTGCAGGGGCCTGTGGAGCACTGTGGAGGGGCCACCTCGGGGAGAGGAGACCAGGGCCTCAAGGGTCCTCGTAGATGGCTGCCACCCAGATCCTGTCCCCAGCTCCTCTGGGATGAGGCTGGGCCCCGCTGGGCCATTCCAGTCTGCTAGGGGAGAGGCGGCCCCAGCCCTCTGCCGCTGTCCCCCAGCAGCCTCTCCACTCTGCCTCTGCAGTGACCTGTGGGCCTGGCACCTACTTCAGCGGCGAGCAGGGCCAGTGTGTGCTGTGTGTGTCGGGGACCTACCAGGACATGGAAGGCCAGCTCAGCTGCGCGCCATGTCCCAGCAGTGACGGGCTTGGTCTGGCTGGTGCCCACAACGTATCTGAATGTGGAGGCAAGTGCAGGCCCATGTGGAAGGGGGGCTGGTGGGGAGGGGCACAGGCAGGGCCCTCCTGCCTCCCGAGGCTCCCAAAGCAAAGGTGGCTGCCATGTGCGGCCACAGAGCCTGGCATTGGCTGCAGTTCATTGCCATCCCAAAGTGGCTCAGTTTCCACACAGGTACCCCCACGAAGGACGTGGGGCTATGAGGGGTCCGCTCCTGGAGGCCCCTGGAGTCCTGAGCTCTGCATGCCACATCACTGCACCGTGTAGCCCACAGAGCACGCCAGTGTGCAGACACGTTGTCCTCACAGACGAGGTGTGGTCATAAAGGGACAACCTAAGTGCTTTATGGTTGACCCAGCACTGGGCCTCCTGGGGACAGTCATCAACAAGTCACCAAGTGAACCACGTACTTTTGTGAGCAGGGACTTTGCACAAAGAGTGCTAAACCTTACCCTAAGCTGATTGAGATGGCACTTTTTACTTAGCCTGTGCCGTTGGTTTGTGGAGATGGTCTCCATTGGCTACCCCCACTTGGCCCCGTTTATGCAACAAGTCAGTCTCCCTGTTGGTCTCTCCCGGGGCTCAGCTGGAGGGTATGCAGGAAAAGCATGCACATGACAAGGCAGTGCCGTGAGGGTGGGCGAGTGGACACTCAGGGGAGTGGAGACCTCTGCCTTCTCTCAGGGTCAGAACAGCCCAAGTCCTAGCCCAAGGCTCTGCAGGCTGCCAGCTGCTCTGGCCCACTGCCCCTCCAGAAGGGTGGTGCCCCCACCCGGCGGGTAGTGACTTAGAGCACAAGGTGGCCACAGGTGGGAGACTCATCACTTGGTTAGGACCTGGGCCAGGAGGACACATGAGACATGAGGCCTGCCCCCTGGGGAGAGGCCTTTGAAAGAAACCCCCTCACCTGGGGTTCCCACTTCCCAGCTCAGCAGGGTCACTGCCCTTTTGCCCCCAGCCCTTCCTGCTGTGGGAGAAGCAAAGGTGGCCTGGCAGGCCACACCGGGAACACTGCCAGCATCCAGACCAAGCCTCCCACCACCAGGGCTGTCTTGCTGTCCCCTACCCCACCCCAGGTGCCTTCTCCTGGGGTAAGCGAGACCAAGATCAGGGCCTTGGGCCACTCATGGCCCAGCCCCAGTAGCGCCCTCCCACCTGAGCCTCGACCTCTGACTTCCAGGCCAGTGCTCTCCAGGCTTCTTCTCAGCAGACGGCTTCCAGCCCTGCCAGGCCTGCCCCATGGGCACGTACCAGCCTGAGCCTGGGCGCACCGGCTGCTTCCCCTGTGGAGGGGGGCTGCTCACCAAGCTGGAGGGCGCCACCTCCTTCCAGGACTGCGAGGCCAAAGGTGAGCAGGCCCCACCGCCCCCAGCTGCACTGCTCAGGGACACTTTCCCCAGAAGCCCTCATCTCCTTGGCATGGCCGAATCAGAGGAGTAGCCTGGAGACACCAGGCATGGACATGGTGACGAGCACTGTGCCATGATTAGGACAGGTTGCGAGCCTGCTGAGCACCAGCACCTCAGGCACTGGGAGGCTTCTGGGAACCTCTGAGCCATGTCTGGAAGGAAGATGGGAGGACCAGGAGGTGGCAGGGGCTGGACCAGAGCAGACACCTTCACCAGCCCCTTCAGGGCCATCCTGCTGGGTGTCCGCCACTCCCCTCCTTTGTCCAGCCTGCCTGTCCCCCCAGCAGATGAGCCTGCTTCCTGTTCCTCAAGCCCCCTCATATCTGTCAGGTATCTGTGCTGCCAGCACAGGCCGGTGGCCCGGGGCTCAATCTCAGTCCCACAGAGTCTGCCATATATCCAGATGGTCCCCTCTGGGGCCCTGCTGTTCTGAGGAGCAGCTTCTCCCCTGGGCCCTGCCCTCCGGCCTCCCCTTCCTCCCCATGCCCTCACCTGTGGAATGACAAGGTACAGCCTTGCTCCCTCCCCTTCCTCTTCTGGCTTCTGCCCTGAACCCCTTCAGTCACACTGTTACCCCACGTCTCCCCAAAAGTTGCTCCCTTCACAGTGGCCTACACGTCCCTGTGTTGCTGGAGCCCATGGGTGTCCTCAGTCTGTGTCTGACATGGGCCCCTCCTAAGCCATTCAGTCCTGGCCGTGTCCTCCCACCTGTCCCCTCATGGTAAAGAGGCGGCACTGGGTGGGAGAGGGCCTTGAGCTCTGTCTGAGCTGCACCTCAGGAGCAGGGGAGGCCTGGCCTTGCCACTAGCACCCCTGCCACATGTCTCTGCAGTGCACTGCTCCCCTGGCCACCACTACAACACCACCACACACCGGTGCATCCGCTGTCCTGTGGGCACCTACCAGCCTGAGTTTGGCCAGAACCACTGCATCACCTGTCCAGGCAACACCAGCACGGACTTCGATGGCTCCACCAATGTCACACACTGCAAAAGTAGGTGCCTCTCTTCCCTCTCCAGGGAGCAGGGGTGCTGGGCAGGGCCCAGGAGGTCGGGGAGGCAGGGCGACAGCTGATCTCCCACTGCCTGACTGAGGGTGCTGGTTCCTGTCTACCACCTCTACTGGGGGACAGGGGTGCCTTTGTGAACCCTATGTCCTTCTTGAGCTCAGTGGCAAGGAGGGGAGGCCCTGTCTTAGCCCCCTCTGCAAGCAGTATGGCGGCACCGAAGTTTACCAGTTCCCTCTACTCACCAGCCATAGCCCAAGTCTCGGCCCAAGCCAGGCCCTGCTCTGATTTCTGGGTCCTGGGGAGAAAGAAACCCATGTTAAGGGGCAGCTGCAAGGCGGTTGGGACAGCAGGCAAGTGCCAGCCCTGCAGCCCCAAAGGCTTGTGCCTCTTAGGCCAAGTGGACATCCAGCTGAGGCCTGAGAGCAGCAGGACGCAGGGACCTAGGTGTGGACAGGCATGAAAGGGCTGGAGGAGGGCCATACAGGCTTCGTGGTGCCCAAGAGTCTCAAGTCAGAGAAAAGCGGTCATCTTAGACAGTCCGGGAAAAGAGGGGCTCCGGCCAGCCCCTCGCCCAGTAGGTCTTAGGGGGTAACAAAAAGGACACCATATCATTTTAAGTATTTTAAATTCATTTTTTCAGAGTTTCTGGTTTTCCCCTCTCCTGGTCAGTTTTAGTTCATTGTCCCTCCGGCCATGTTGGGAACTGCCTGAAAGCCTGTGAAGGGATTAGCTAGAGGGGGCAGTGGTCTCCGTCCAGGCTTCCCAGGCTGAAGAGCAAGGCAGAGGAGGAGCTTTGCAGAGGCAGGGCTTAAACATCCTCATAGGTGAACACGGTGAAGCCAGGAGAGAGGGAAGCTTCTAGAACGCTGGTAGGGAAATGAAATGTTCCCCAGAAGTTTTGAAGTGAGAAAAATTTTTAAATGAGAATGCAAAGGAATTTTATAAACATTTAATATTTACTTTCAATTCTTTTTACAGAGCTAAGGCCATTTCCTTATTAATTAAAGGCTAGGAACAGTTTGGCTCATAAAAATGTCAGGTTCAGCTCCTTCAAGGATGTACAGTTTAATTAAAAAGGAGACAGAAGGAACACGATTCCTTTCCTCCCTTTGTGGACCGCTTGCTCCTCCTGCTCTGTGAGAAGGGAGACCGTGTGGCACTGGCATGCTCAGTGAGGCTCACCAGGTGAATAACCAGAGAGAGGTGCCCGGGGGCCTCACTGTACATTCACACCAGACCTGGCTGGGCCAGCCAGGGGGGCTGCCAGTCTCCAGGGGCACAAAACGGCCCGTCTGAGTGGCCAGTGACATGATCAGGCCCAGACACAGAAACAGGATGGGCCTGGCCAGGCGGGTCCGCCCCCTAGGTATCTGCTCTGGCTGGGGCTCAGAGAACCTATGAGGGGATAGCCCAGGCAGGGCTCCCACTAGAGGTCATCTCAGGGCCTGGCAGCTGACACAGGAGGACTGGGTGGAGGCTGGGCAGAGGAGGGGACAGGAACACTTGCCTGAGGGCCCAGGAGGCCAAGACACCCAGCAGGCCAAGCCTGACCACGCCCTGTGGCCATGGTGCCCACAGACCAGCACTGTGGTGGTGAGCTTGGTGACTACACGGGCTACATAGAGTCCCCCAACTACCCTGGAGACTACCCGGCCAATGCTGAGTGTGTGTGGCACATCGCACCGCCCCCCAAGCGCAGGATCCTCATTGTGGTCCCCGAGATCTTCCTGCCCATCGAGGATGAGTGCGGTGATGTCCTGGTCATGAGGAAGAGTGGTAGGTACTGGCCTCGGGATGGGGATGGCAGGGCCACACAGCCTCAGTCCATGTTCATGCCCACCTTAGTACAGCCTCACCAGGAACAGGAAGGAGGGCCCAGGCTCTGAGAGCAGGTCCCTTGGGGTTCCAGGAGGCAGGTGGGGACCCACTGGGATCTGGCCGCCAGAGCTGAGCTGTGCAGAGCTCTGTGAGAAGGCCGTAGGGCCAGGGAGAAAGGCCAGGAACCCACACAGGCCCAGAGCACGCCCTCGTTCAGGCCTGACTATCTCTGGTCATAGAGGCAGGCCACGAGAGGCGAAGGAGGACGCAGGAGGGAGCCGAGGGGTTTGCTCAGTGCCACGTTCTGTGTGAGCTTTAGCACCATGCACACACTGCCTGCGTCTGCCAGGAGTCTGACCGCCCTAATATGCAAGTGGGGCTGTGGCTAGAAAGGGCAAGGGGCCTGCCCAGGGTCCCTGAGCAGGTCAGAGCCCAGCCAGGAACCACCTGCCCCACCCATTCCCATCACCAGCCCCAGGGCCCCCACCCACATCCTTCTTTCCACTGTCCACCCACAGGGCTGAGCTCCAGGGGCAGCCTCTCCTGTATCAGGGGCACCTCAGGAAGAATACCCAGGGAGCAGTGAGGAGGTGGGCACCCCAGGGGACAGCAGGTCCACCCCTCCTTGTTCACTCACAGGAGCCCCTGGCTCCTCTCCCACGGCCTGCCTGAGTGCACCCCCCATTCCTGACTGCTGGGCACAGGCGTGAGCTCCGTCATGGGGGAGCAATTGGCTGGAGGAAGACGGAGCCCCAGCACAGGGGGCTGCACGCAGGGGTCCACCAGAACTCCAGGGGCAGAGGGCAGCGAAGGGCAGAGGGAACCAGACGAATCTAGAGGGTGCATTTGGGCAATGGGCACTAGGGCCCTGGCAGCCAGCCGGGTTGGGGAGGTAAGCAACCTGTAGCAGGAGGAAGGGTCAGTGAGGAGCATGGCTCGGGGCACCTCAGTGAGGGTGTCTCCCCCAGCCTCGCCCACATCCATCACCACCTACGAGACCTGCCAGACCTATGAGAGGCCTATCGCCTTCACCTCCCGCTCCCGGAAGCTCTGGATCCAGTTCAAGTCCAACGAAGGCAACAGTGGCAAAGGGTTCCAAGTGCCCTACGTCACCTACGATGGTAAGGCACCGCTCATCATGGCCCGCTGGGTGCCAGGAGTGGAGACAGCCTCACGCCCCAGCCTGTGGCAGGGCACAGACCCAGGACCAGCATGCCCCAGGGGCCCCCGCTGCAGACAGGCCTCAGGGTGTGGGGGTGCAGATGAGGACACTGCTGTCTGCAGGCGGAGGTGGAGGCACTGCCCACGGGAGGACAAGGCTAACCAGGGCAGCCAAGCCGCCATGACAGTACAGGAAGGGACCCGATGCGAAGGCCAGGGGCAGCATCCAGCACTCGCCGACAACCCGAGGCTGGAGCCAGGGAGGGCAGAGGCGGGGATGTGAGGGTCTCAAGTTCCGGCCTTCCCCTCCCTTGCTGACCCGCTTCCCAGAGGACTACCAGCAGCTGATAGAAGACATCGTGCGCGACGGGCGGCTGTACGCCTCGGAGAATCACCAGGAAATTCTGAAAGTGAGTTTATTGGAAGGGAATCCACATGATTCTGGGAGAGTGGCCTGGGCCGTCCCTGCCCCCACCCTGGCCCCTGGAGAAGTGAGACAGAGGGTGTGGCAGGGGAGGAGGCGGAGGGCCTGGGTCTGGTATGTCTGTCCCCTCAGACCAAGAGGCTAAACCAAGCTGGCTCCTGAGGAGATGGGGACCAGGACCCGGGGACGAGGCTTTGAGCAGGTTCCTTGCCTGGCAGCCTCAGCTCTGCCTTCCTCGTCTGGGAGAGGAGGGTAGTTGGACAGGGTGATATCATAGAATCTGGAACCCACTCATGCTGCTGTCACTCCTGTCATTGGGACCAAACCCCTCCATGTCCTCTGTGGCCTCGAGAGGCAGAGCCACATTCTCACAGAGGGGAGGCTGCAGCTGTCTCAGTAGGCACTGGCCAGAGGCCCAGGGACCCAGTTCTTCCGGAGTAAGGCCAGACCTGGGGATCTGCTTGGGCTGGTGTCAAGGACAAGAGTGGGGCTGGGGCCACATCCACCTGGCTGACCCTCGTCAGGTATCACTTGACTGAGATAGAGAGTGGTCTGCATAGTTGGGTAGTCACCTCGAGACTTCCAGGCCCTTGCCTGGTGACCCTCGAGCTCATAGTAGGTGCTTTGTCAGTCATGTAGCTTGCTTTTAGCTGCGGCTCTCAGGCTCCTAATGTCCTCCTCAGGCCACCTCTCTGTCTAGACAGAAACCAGAGAGCCACCCTGGCCCCTCCACAGCCTGTCCGGCCGATAGCACCCAACTCACTCCTCACCCTGCTGTAGCCCAGCTGCCACCTCAGCACCCCTGCAGCTGGGAGCACCCTTCCAGAACTCAGAGTGTCCCGACACTGCTCTTAGGACATGGGGGCCCACCCCTCAGGACCACCTGCCTGTTCTCGCTGCACTCTCTGCCCAGGGCTCCCCAAGTTGATCTCCCCTGCCTCTCCTCAGTGAATGTCCACCGTCCCTCTGCTCTGTGCCGAGGTGCCTGTCCTCTGGGCAGCCTTCCTGGACCTCCCTGATTGGACCCCACATGTGTCACAGACCCTCAGAGTCCCACGTGCCACTCCTTCACAGCCCCTGTGAGGACTGCACCTTGGATCTGTTTCATGACTATGTGGTCCCGGGCTCCCTGTGAGAGGGGCTGCAGGGCTTCATGCCCCACAGCTGGTGCCCAGCATGAAGCCCTGAGGCAGAGGAGCAACGCCAGGGGTGCTGTTCCTCAAGGGCAGCAATGCACGTAGGAAGGACCTGTGGTGCATGTGTGTGAGCGAGGTGCCGTGTGCGTGGCAAGTTGTGTGCACGTGTGTACGTGTGGTTGTGTGAGAAGGGTTAGAGTGTGTCTGAACAGGTCAAACCCAGCAGCAAGTGTGGCCAGAGGCAGTAAGCTGACGACCTTCCAGGCCCAGAAGCGGGAGGTCACCATTTGTGGAGGCCTTGCAGAAAAAACCAGGCTACAGGCCTCTGCCAAGAGCCCACCGCTGGGCCTGCCCTCCAGAATACCCCAGCCAAGTCTCAGTCCACCCCTCAGTGCTTCCTTCTGGGTGGCCCATGATGGCATCAGGTGGTAGATTGTGCATGCTCCTCCAGAGGCCACTCAGGGAGGAGGAGCCAGGTGCCACCTGCACCCACACTGGAGAGCTGTCCTGAGCCCTTCTGTAGCCAGGCTCTGCTGGGGCCACACTCTACGTCTTCACTGCAGCCCTCAGAGTGGGGGTCCTGACCCTGCTGTCCAGGGGCCTCCTCGAGATGTAGAGCTGCCGAGGGCTTTCCAGGGTCGAGGAGCTAGTGACCAGGTGCGGCTGTGGCTGCGAAGCCTTGCTCGGTCCTCAGCACGCTCTGGTTTTCAGAGTGTTATATTACCAACAGATGCTCTTAATAAAAGCATTCACGCCAGTAGGCTACTAAAAAACCAGCCACATGGGGCTGGGGATGTGGCTCAGAGGTAGAGCACTCGCCTAGCATGCGTTAGGCACTGGGTTTGATCCTCAGCATCACATAAAAAATAAATAAATAAATAAAGATATTGTGTCCACCTATAACTAAAAAGCAAATATTAAAAAAAAAAAAAAACACAGCTACATGGGGCTGGGGATGTGGCTCAATGACAGAGCACTTGCCCAGTGGGCACTAGGGCCCAGGTTCCCTCTCCAGCACTACAAAAAAACTATTAAAAAATGTAAAAATGATGGGCTGGGGTTGTGGCTCAGCGGTACAGCACTTGCTTAACACGTGCGAGGCCCTGGGTTCTATTCTCAGCACCGTATATAAATAAATAAAACAAGGTTATTGTGTCCAACTATAACTAAATAAATATAAAACCAAATGTTAAAAGGAAAGAAAAAAATACAATTACACTGTTAAACCCAAAGGACTATCTGTAGTAAGCGATTTGGGGGATCCCGAAACCCTGCTCCCCATCCCTTCCAGGCCCCCAGTGGAATGCCCTGGCCCCACCTCATGCACCTCATCTCGCCATGTCTTGCAGGACAAGAAGCTGATCAAGGCGCTCTTCGACGTGCTGGCACATCCGCAGAACTACTTCAAGTACACAGCCCAGGAGTCCAAGGAGATGTTCCCCCGGTCCTTCATCAAACTGCTACGTTCCAAAGTGTCCCGATTCCTGCGGCCCTACAAATAACACTCAGAGCTGTCCTGCTCGGGGATGGCCAGGGAGCCAAGGAAGAAGAGCTCCTTCCCTCTGTCGTGGGGCTGAAAGGCAGCTCTGTGGGCCACCTCGTTGCCTGGGGAAGCCCATGATGCGTGCACTTCAGGAAGGCCACCAGCCCCTAGAGGGCCAAGGCTGAGCTGGGCCCCCATGGGACACTGCTTCTAAAGCCTTTTGCCCTTTGCCTCTCATCCCCAGACACCAGTAGTGCTTCCCCTGAGCCGGCTCTGGCGCACGCTGCCTGGCCAGGACACGCCGAGGGCACCAGAGAGCATGCGCTTCTGCCTGATGCTGTGGGAGAGAGGAGAGTGGCACCCTCCCGGTGGCTCTGTGAGCTTGGCCCCTGTCACCCACAGGAAGCCAGCAGAGAAGGAAGGACATGTGGAGGCACCATCTCTGAGGTGACAAGCCTGTGTCAGCACTTGTAGGGCTACTACACTGCCAACTCCTCCAGCCAGGATCGCAGGACATGGTGCCATGTCATTGGGCTCTAAGGACTCTGTGACAGATGGAAGAGAGCTGCTGAGGGAGGAGTGGAGGTCTTCACCAGCCCTGCTAGAACGGCTGATGAAGTGCTGTATACATATGTATAAATATAAATACAAATATATATACATATATATATATATATACACACACACTTCTATTTGTGGGTACTGTAGGGGTGCTCTCTTCAGCAGCTGTAAACACTCGGTGCCACTACTGTCCCCCCAGCACTCACCTGTGTGGGAGACAGGAGCTGCCGGGCAGGTGCAGCATGGGCTGGCCCTGGACACCTTGTGAATATGAACTTAGGGAACTGAGCTCCCATGCTGGATTGGAGGGTTGGCCCTGTCCCAGTCCCTTCACAGTGACATCACTGCCCTCAGGACACAGTGGAAGGCAGCCTCCCCTTGGGCCCCTGAATAAGGGGTGTAAGTATCCAGCCATAAACTTAGGAAGGGGCCTGTGGCCATGACCTTGGGGTCTGAAGTGTGCCTGCATGTCACCAAGAAATAAGGCTGTGAGGCCTGAGGCCTACCCAAGAGGAGGTGGCCCAGAGGCAGAGGCGGCCTGAGGCAGAGGTGGCCTGGGTCACAAGGCCTGGCTTCAGTGCAGCTCCCCCGTGGGCCTGCCGCCTCCCTCTCAGAGTCTCCTCAAGGCTGCCTTCGTCCCACCAGCCAGGAAGCCAGAGCCCAGGATGGAGCCAGCTGAGACCTCACACACCCAGGGTCTGCGAAGCCTCAGACCGCCTGCTGCCAGCAAGAGGACGAGCAGAGGGAATGTTCTATATTATTTAGGTTAACAAACTTTAAAATCCCCAGGAACATGGGAGCATCTTACAATGAACTCCAACTACCGATGCCAAGTGGCCTCAGGTCTCCTGATCCCCAGCCCAGCCTGGCGGGTGAGAGGTGAGCAGTTTGAGAAACACACGTGAAACATAGGACTGTGGACACACAGGCCAGCAAGCAAAGTCTCAAGATCCATGGCTGGTGACAGGCAGCAGGGCATGGCCCCTCCTCCAGGCCACAACAGGGCTTGGGATGCAGGCGTGAGTGGCCCTTACCCTCGCTGCAGAGCTGGGTGCCCAGCTGTACTGACCCTGCTTTCGGTACCATCTCTCAAGTCCAGCTCGGGTTTGTGGAGAGCAGCAGACAGGTCAGGGTCAAAAGCACTGCTGGGGACTGCACCACCCCCGGCTGGCCACCGTCCCTGCAGATCAGCCTTGGTTTTCAGAAAGAAGCCTCCCTCCCTTTGTCAGGCCATCAGTCACCCCCAGAAGTGAGAGACAGATGCCCTAGGAAGGGCACAGAGAAGGGTCTGCCTCTTTATTGGGTTCTCTAGGAAAATGGGACCAACAGCGTGTGCACTTGGACATAGTAAAGGGGACTTATTATGGGAGATCGGAGATCATGGAGGTGGCCTCAAAGTTCCGTGAGGTGCTCTGTGCAAGCCAGAGAGCCAAGAGAGCCCTCGGTGGGATGCAGGCTCAGCACAAAGCCTGAGAAGCTGTGAGCAGGGACAGTCCTGGAGTCTGAGGCCCAAGAACCAGGAGCACCAGTGTTGGGGACCAAAGAAGAAGGACACCCAGCTCCAAGAAAGCAAATTGTGCCCTTCCCCCACCTCTTTGTCCTGTTGGAGCCCTGGGACCATCAGAAAATGCCACCCACACTGGACAGGGCCTGATTGGCTCAGCCCTCTGATAACAGGCTGATCTCTTCTGGTCACACCCAACAGTCAGACCACCAAGAGCACTTATGGTTATCTGGAATCAACCTAGCACAGTCAAGTTGCCACATAAAATTAACCACTGCACTTCTTAAAGGGTTTCCTCCTTTAATTCTCTCAAAAACCAGAAAGAACAAGAAAGAGCTCTTCAGATCCCCTGAGTTCTTCCTGCAGATGCAGAGTCACAGAGACAGGCAGCAGGGCATGGCCCCTCCTCCAGGCCACAACAGGGCTTGGGATGCAGGTGTGAGTGGCCCTTTCCCACGCTGCAGAGCTGGGTGCCCAGCTGTACTGACCCTGCTTTTGGTGCCATCTCTCCTCAAGTCCAGCTCAGGTTTGTGGAGAACAGCAGACAGGTCAGGGTCAACTGACCAGCCCTCCTGGGGACTGCACCACCCCTGGCTGGCCACCATCCCTGATCAGCCTTGGTTTCCAGAAAGAAGCCTCCCACATGCCCACTAGGCTGCCCCCCACATCTTCTCATGTTCCATGGCTCTCACTACCACTGTGGCCACATCGTGCCCAGTGACCCCAGGGCAGAGCAGGACAGGGGCAATACAGAACCCTCTTTCTTCTCTTATTGTCAAGCCCATTTTTAGCTCTCATCCCACAAAAGAGGACTTGAGGACCAGGTAGTCAGCAGCCCCAGTTTACTAGCTGCCCTCACAGGCCACCACCCTGGCCTCCCTCTCACTGCCACCCTTCACCATCTGGATGTCTTGAAGTCCAAGTAGGGCCTGCCCTGTCTCTCCACACCAGCCTCACCCTGGGAAACTCTGGGTGCCAGCTGTTAAACCCAAAGCCAACCCTGGTCCTCAGGGCCTGGTACTCCCAGAGGCCCTTCCAGGATGTCAGGCCCATCTCCTTGAGTTCACACTTTGCAGCCAGAGGCAGATCGGCTACATGGCGACCGCTGCACTTGCTTCATGATTCATGGTGGAGGTACAGGGGAGACGTGGGCATGAGGACTGGGCCCAAGCAGGGCAGACGTATGCTCTAAGGCCTGAAGAAGGACGGAAGCCAAGGACAGGGTGCGGATCCTCCCGCACTGTCGTGGAGAAGCCAGCACGGCCCATGCCCGGGCTCTGGCCTTGAGCAACCTCAGATCCTGCTTCAGTGGCCATTTAGTAAATTCCCAACAGCCACACTGTCCCCTGTACTTCCAAGGAACAGGACCCACGAACAGCTTCTGGAAGCAAAAGCTCTGCCATTCGGACAGGAAGTGCAGACTATTGGAGCCAGAGTACCAGTGGGTGGTCAGTGACAGAGAAGAAAGTGTGACTCCGGTGTCTCCACCTGCCAGCACAAACCAGGTATGAGTAAGCTGGGTCCTGTGGCAAGCACTGCCTGAGCACCTGCTGTGTGCTGGGCTCCTAGGAAGACAGGGAGCCAGAGCGCTGCCACAGACGCAGGGGCAGCAGCCTGCCTGGACGTCTCTACCCCACGTCACCACTGGCCTCGCCCACACAGTCCTGACCTGCGGAGAGAGGGGACTTTCTTTTCTCCCAGGGGCGCCAGATACCACACCTCCTCCTGGAAAGTTTGATCAGCCTGGCAAACTGCATTTTATAGCAAGACCCCTTAGCTTCACCAAAGACACTCATGGTGGCAGCTCAGCCCTTCCAACCAAGGTGACAACACCCAACTGAGGTCATTCAGAGCAAAGGCCAGAGGACTTAGAAAATGCCTGGAACACTTTGAAACCAGCAAGTGGTCTCTTGGAAAGGCAGGTGTGGAGGTCATCCTCAGAGCCCAGCTGACTTGGGTGTGGCCTGCGCCGCCTCCCAACACCCTGCTCAAACAGCCCCTGTAGAGCGGACCCTGCTTCCCCACAGCCCCCCACACCAGCGTGGCAGCTCCTGCGCGGGTCCTTTGAAATCATCTGTACACCCAGCCTCAACCGGAAGAAATAATGGGGGCACAGTGAACTTTCATTCAGGGGCTCCTACATCCAGATGCTGAGCCCAACGCTCTTCCTTCCACAGAGACTATCCCTTCAGCCCTGCAAGGTTGGCGGGGCGCAACCTGTTCCCCGGTGTGGGACATTAGGACTCTGGGAGACCAAGTGACACACCCAGGATGAAGAGTCAGAGGTTTATGCAGCTGGAAGTCAAACCCAAGCCTATGGAAGCCAAGCCCACCCAGTGCAGGAACTGTCTCTGCAAAATGTTGGCTGAGCCGGGTGCAGTGGCGCACGCCTGTAATCCCAGCAGCTCGAGAGGCTGAGACAGGAGGATCACGAGTTCAAAGCAAGGCGTTAAGCAACTCAGTGAGACCCTGTCTCTAAATAAAATACAAAATAGGGCTGGGGGTGTGGCTCAGTGATCGAATGCCCCTGAGTTCAATTCCCATTGTGTGTGTTGGCTGAGCTGAATTTTACAGATTGGAACCTCAGCTGAGTCAGCCAGGCAGCAGGGAGTTGGGGACACGAAGGGTGGAGAGGATAGCACAAGCAGGCAGGGTAGCCTTGACCTCAGTTCCCTCCCTTCTTACCAAGCACTGAGCACTCACTCAGAGAGAGGCCAGACTTTGTCTCCTCTTGGGGAGGGGACAGGCACTCACCATTCAGACGCAAGTTGGCACCATGCCCTAACCTGCCACAGGTGCCCATCCTGCTCTCAGGGAGGCAGTGGCAGACCTGGAGGCCCCCAGGTGGCTCAGGAGAGCATCACTATGCCTCAGCAGAGCCCTGTACAGAGCAGGAGGAGAGAGCAACTGGCCAGGAGGAGTTCGTTTCAGTCTGAAGGCCAAGGACACCTGCAGGGAGGCCCAGACACTGAGCAGCCGGGCCACAGCGATCGGCAGACAGGCCACAGAGGCTGCACTCTGCCCATTCCTTCTCCTTGAGCCTGTGAAGGTGCCTTCCAGGACAGGCCCTTGGCAACAATCCACTGTGAGGGTGACAGATACCGTCACAGCCACCGTGTCCTTTTAATTGCCTCAAGTATTCAAAGCTGTGTTTTCTCCACCCTATTCTCTCATATGCATGTAATAAATGTTTGTGAAAATCACTTTAATAATAAACAAAAAATAAACCTAAATGTTGCTCTTTTCTCTTATCCACTGGAGGCCACCATAGTGGGGGTGGGGGGAAGCAACTGGAATCAGAAAAATACCAAGAAATTGCATGGCTCTGTTGACAGCTGGAAGTAAAGGGGCTCCAATGTCCTCCCCTGGGGAAGCAAGGGCTGGAGCCTGCATGTGGGGAAGCAGAGGGCGCCCCACAGCCGTGTTCGTGCTCCTAAATGAACTACCAGGAAGTAAAATGTCCGTCTCAAATCCATTTCCCCTCCTAACTTACATTTTGCTCTCTTATACAGAGGCTTTAATCCAGAAGCCACAATCACCATGAGCCTCGGGGAATCTGAGCTCCCCCAGAATAGATGCCCAATGCTGTGCGTGCACCTCTCTGAGACTATGGCCCATGGCTTTCACCAGAATCTAGAAGAAATCCAGAATCCCATAAAGGCTGGCAATGACCATGCTCCTCAAAAATAGCCCTCCAGGTGTCACACACTCAACAGGAGAAAAACAGCTTCATAATATACCAAGCGATGTTCTAAATAAGTGATAGTTCATTCCTTGGTTTAACAGAATGGTTTAAAGTCTGAGGAGGGATTGGCTGGGGGGTAGAGCACATGCTCAGCATGTGCAAGACCCTGGGTACCTCCGACAGGACTACCAAAAACATTCAAGACTTCTCCATATTCTTCTCTTATTCCCAAAAGAATGGGAAGAAGGGACCTGAACAGGCATTTGCACACCCGTTTTCATTCACACCAGCGTTATTCACAATAGCTAAAGGTAGAAACAGCTCAAGTGTCCATTGACAGATGAATAGATAAACATAATGTGGTCAATCCATACAAAGGAATATCATTCAGCCTTAAAAAGGAATGAAATTCTGACACATGCTACAACATGGGTGAACCTTGAGGAATTATGTTTACTAGAATAAGCCTGATGCAAAAGGACAATTACTATATTTTCCACTTAAATGCCTAGAGTTGTCAAATTCATAGAGACAGAGTGCAGCCAGGCATGGACGTGCACACCTGTAATCCTGGTGACTCAGGAGGCTGAGGTAGGAGGATGACAAGTTTGAGACCAGACTGGACAACTTAGTGAGACCCTTTCTCAAAATAAAAAATGAAAAGGTCTGGGGGTATGCTAAGTGGTAGAGTGCCCCTGTGTTTAATCACAGTAGCACATAGAATGGTGGTCCCCAGAGGCTGGAGGAGGAGAAAATGGGGGGTTAGTGTTTAATGGGTGCAGATTTTCAGTTGGAGAGAGAAAGTTCTACACACAGATGGAAGTAACAGCAGTCTGATAATGTATAATGCCACTGAACTGTATTCTTTTTTAATTGCTAAAATGATAAATTTTATATCACTTCTACTTTACCATCATTAAAAGAAAGTTGCAGGAGGGAGCATTGATGTCCTTCTTTAAGCACACGGCACACCAGACATTTCTACAAAAGACCCCATAAAGACAGGGGCAAAAGGTCAGGCCTCTGCAGACTGGACAATGGGCTGAGACAGCCCAGCCTCGTGAGGTCCTGTGGACAGACCTGATCCCCCAGGTCCCAAAATACAGTGAACCAGATTCCTTATGAGCAGACGGCCGGCTCATATTCCAGCCCTGCTCCACATGCTGTGGCGATTCAGGGCTTCGCCTCTGGTCACTGTGGGACCAACCTGTTTCATATTATAGTATTTTTGAACTTCCTCTAAATGCTGAGAGCTTAGTGATCAAATGGAGGCCATTATTGAGAATAGAGCCTGGGAAAACAGAGTAGCCCTTGGGGAATTGAAATGCTAATGTTCCCAAGGCCCAGAGCCTATCCTAAGGAAATGTTAATGAAGCAGCTCCCCAGCAAACCTGAGGTGCTAATCAGAAGGGGCCCCAGGCCTTCCCAGCCCAGATTACTCCTCACCCATGTGCCCCTCACCTTTTGGGCCTTCCCACCTACATTTCATCACTGCAAGATAACAGAACAAAGGACAGAAATGCAAACGACAGGAATACGGGAAAGCTGAAAGTAAACCTTAGCTGTAAAAAAGGAAAGACTTCCCCTTGCATGGATTCCACCTCTTGGGTCCCCTTCTTCCTCCAGGGAGAAGTCTTTTCTGCTGTCCTTAATAAAGCTTCTACTTTCCACTCTAAACTTGCTTTTCTGGTGTTATACTTCAGCATTGGGGAAGCAAGGACTCGTCACCGGTAAACAGTGGTAACAAAACTTCCACAAAATGTTGAACTTGACCCTCCACCATGAGGGCCAAAAAGCTCACTAACCACTAATCAGATGATGTAATTCTGATTCGGAAGCACTGCATATACTTCCAAAGTAAGAAATTATTTTAAGAAGACTGCTCTTGAAAACAAATTAACATGTGGAGCTGTGCAAGCAGGTTTACCTTCCATTGTGAATCATGACTATTCATTTAAATCAAATTGCTTTGTCTACAAAATGCACTTCAATGTGGCATTGAAGGTTTATTGTTGTTTTCCTCTGCACCCTCAGCAATTGAAGTTTGGAAGTCTGAGCCTCTGCAGATCAGCCTGAGTCCCACAGTGACACCGAACAAGTCCTCTAAATTGGGGCATTTTGTTTAAAATTAGTTTTTTAAAAAAATTAATTAATTTTTAAGATTTTGAGACAGGATCCGGTTGTTTTCCAGGCTGGTTGAATTTGCCATCCTACTGCCTCCGCCTCCGGAATAGCTGGGATTACGGACGTAGATCACTAAACCTAAGAAACTGAAGCACCCCCAAAATTTCAGGCTTTGAGCTATTTTTAGCAAATAATTATTACAAAGTTCCAAAAACCAATGAGCGTTCAAAGGCGACTGATTTTTAAATGTTTTTAAGTTGCGCTTTATAACATCTCAACGTGTTTGTTTTCGGGTTTCTTTGGTTTGACTTTTTTAAGGTGGTGCTGGGGGATCAGACCCGGAACCCATGTCCCCGGCACCTCCTGCACCACGGAGCTTCCTCTCCAGCCAACACCTCAGCTTAGAGGGAAAACACTTCCGACGGCACGCCCAGCTTTAATGGTTCAACTCATCTTCCGAATCCGAATATAAGGAAACTGGGATGGACCACGACTTCTCAGCGCTTAAAATTCAGGGAAATTAAAAGGATCAGAGAACCCCTCCCACCCCGAGGGCTTTGCAAACCTGACCAGTGCGGCCACCGCCCCACCTGCCCCCGCACGGCCGCCCCTTCCGGTTCTGAACGCGAGGGCGCATAATCCCGCCCTCCCGGCATCCCCTGGGGCAGCCGCAGCAGGAGTGAGAAGAGACACGCCCCCCCGGGGCGTGCGCGCCTACGCCAGCAGCTCCGCGGCCCGGTCGCGGACACACGCGAGCGCGCGCCCATCGACGCACGCGGTCCTCTGGGTCCCGGCCTCGCGCGGGGCGGGGCAGAGCAGAGCGGAGGCGGAGCGGCGGCGGCTTGGCTGGCGGGCCCGGCCCGGGGGCGGCGGCTCCACATTTGCGCTGGCTCTGGCTCGGGCCGAGGCGCCATGGAAGCCGAGCCGGGGCCGGAGCGCGGCAGCCCGGGCCGGACACCAGAGGAAGGCGCGCGGGCCCTGGCCGAGTTCGCGGCGCTGCACGGCCCGGCGCTGCGCGCCTCGGGCGTCCCGGAGCGGTACTGGGGCCGCCTGCTGCACAAGCTGGAGCACGAGGTGCGGGCCGGGCGGGGTCCCAGGCCGGGGGAACCCGGCTGCAGACGGCCCCCGTGGGGCGGCCGGCCGCTCCGGAGCCCGCGGGGAAGCGCGCGGCTGCGGCCGGGCGGAGGGCGGTGGGGCCTGGGCGCGCGGCCGCGATTAGCCGCGGGGTGGAGGGCGGATGCGCTGGGTCGCGTGGAGCGACCTAGACTCTGTCCCTCGGCGATTCAGCAGCGGCTTGGAGTTTGGGGCTAGAGCTCCAGGGAGACATACGCCTCTGTACCCCGACCCTCCAGGCCCAGGCCGGCCAGGGTGGCGCCGGGAACTTAAGGTGGAGTAGGGCGTGTGTCGTGTGCCCGGCCCTCGGCAGCCCTGTGAGGAGTGGGACCCGTCGCCCCTTATACAGATAAGAAAGCCGAGGCTAGGAAGAGACCTGTCAGGCTCAAACCCAGAAGCTGCTCTCAGCCGTGAATTTGTGTAGCTTTAGCTGTTTGGTTCATAGAATTCCGTGGTGTTTCTTCATTTGGTTCAGGCACAGATCACCTTCATTTTGCAGAATAAGAGTTGAGACTGTGGAAGATGGAGAAAGAAGGTAAAGGAAAGATGAAGGGTGTAGAGCTTTCTGGATTTTCTCCCTTTTGTGGAGTCCACTCCCGTGTGCCTGCCTCTCTAAGCCGAGACTTCAGAGGTCTCCTGCTCCTTCTGGCCCAGAGGCCAGATGGGGCCTTTTCCCCCTGGAGCCAGGCTCCTGCCGGGCTCAGCCTCTAGAACCTGGGCAGGCTAAGCGGTGCAGGTGACCCGGGCCAGGAACTAGGAGCCCCGGGAGCCTGACTGCTGAACAGACCTTGCCCTCTCAGCAGTTTTTGTCCCTGAGTATTCATTCCCCCGAACACTTACGGGTGAGCTGCCCTTTGAATTTTGAATTTGCCCATTTCCTGAGCTAGATATGCAACAGAATCCTCTAAAATACTGGGCAGTGCCAGCAGGCCCCAGCTCCATGGCAGCCCAAAAACTCAAAGGGAAAGGGCAGCAGCTTAGGGCATTGCTGTGAAGTTCGGTGGGTTGGGGGTGTTGGATGCGTCTTTAGCCTTTGATGTTTTCACCTCGGTGCGGGTTTCAGCCGTAGCCCCATCGTAAGTCGAGCATCTGTGCTTGGTGGCAGTGGCACTCCTCTCAGTGCATGTGCTCTGGAACAGGATTTCCTTCCCCCATCACCCTGGCCCTTAATGCTGCCACTGTTTTCTGAGGACTTCCCAGACCTGTGATGGGGATTGGGGCAGGGAGGACCCCAGTTTGTTAAGGTCCTGTTGTGTTGGATGAAAGGAGGATAATGTGGCAATGTCCTGGCCCCTGCCCAGCCCGCCTCAGGAGTGGTAGACCCTCACTCGGGCAGGTCCCTCACCACGGGAGCTCTAGCCTCATGTGGAAAGCAGGAGTAGTGGGAAAGGTGCACCTGGCTGACTGGGAACCTGGTGGGGGAGGGGAGGTGAGAGCTGAGGATTAAGCCACCAGTGTCCAGTATGTAGAAGATGGTCACCAGTGTCATGTCGTTTCTTCCCTGGCCACCCCATTGCTGTGCCCTACCCTGGGGCAGCCAGTGTTTTTCCATTGACCTCCCAAGCTGTTACCAGCAGAGCTGAGTCACCAAGATGCCAGACACAAACCTGCAGCCATTGTCACAGAGTAAGACCAGGTCTGGGGTGGGAGGGAGCATGCCACCAAGACCAGTACCTGCTGCACACAAGGGCCTCATCCTGTGACCCTAGTGCAACTGCCGACTCCTGCTTGAGCTTTCCACTGGTGACCACTCCCCTTGCTGTCTCCCTGGGGGCCCCTCAAGACCTGTCAAGTGCAGGCTGTGGTCACCTCATTCCATAGCAAGGGAGAAGCCAAGCCAGAATGGGGGTGGGCCTGCTGACCCCCAGAAGGCTGGCGATGGAAGGCTGAGGATTTGGGAGTACTTAGGCGAGCGAAGACAGGCTCCAGCCCCTGCCTTCTTAGCAGAGAGCAAGGTAGTGGCCTTCCCAGGGCTGCGGCCAGCATTAAAGCAGGACTCAAACCTCTGCCCAGCTCTCTGGGAGCCTCTTCCAGGTGATCTGTCTGCCACACCCTGCTGGGCCCTTCCTTGCCCTTCCCCTGCCCGGAGTTCTTTCCCCCACCTCCCCAGAGCCAGGTCCTTTGGAGTCCACCTATGTATCTTAACCCAGAAACTTCCTCAGGCTCTGCCGCTGCCCACCTGGTACTTGGATGGCCTAGCCCTTCCTCAGCTCTCAGCACCATGCTCATCCTCTGTGACCATGGAGTGTCAGTCCCCACCAGCATCCCAGTGCCGCCTGTGCCTGAGTAGCTAGTGAGCTGCCCCTGAGAGGCTAGAGGTTTCAGGGAGGACTGGAATCAAGTCCCCTCTGGGTGTCGGAACTTAATGTGTGCTGTTAGATCTAATTCCCAAAGTGGGCCTGGAAGATGGGTGGTACCCCTTCACACAAGAGGAGACTGGGTCACAGAGCATGCTGAGACCAAGTGCTCACAAAACTGTCCTGTGGTCCAGGTTCTGTTGTAAGCCTGTTGGTGTGTGGGTCACCTAACCCTCCCAACACCCCCCTGAGGTGGTCCAGTTGTGTCTGTTGGACAGATGTGTAGGAAGTGGAAGAGCCGCCTGTGCCAGGCTGCAGAGTCTAAAGATACCGCCCCCACCCCCATCACTGGCTGGTGGCAGGAGCTAGGACCAGCCTGGCTCCAGGCACAGGAGAAGAGGCCCACTCTACCCTGAGGATGGCGCATACCCCTCTGTTTCCTGCCATGTCTGGGCGAGTGACAGGGGGTCTCAGCTACTGTGGTGTGCAATTGCTTCTGGTGAGAGGAAGTGCTCCCCAGCTACCAGGACCCTGACCCCCATTCACCTCTAGTGTGACCAGAGCCACCTTCTGCCCTTAGGACCTTATTTTTCCTGGAAAGCAAGAGACCTAAACTAAAGAGCATTCCCCTGTGTACATAGTCCATTTCCAAGAGTGGTGTCCCATGGGGCCAGCACCTTGGATGATCTCAGCATAGATTATGCCCCTGTGAAGTTCTAGGAGGCCTAGTTTCCCCATCTGCCAGGTTTTTGTGGGTAGGTCGGGTAGTATATAGGTCCTACTCCTTAGAGGAGTCAGGTTCATCCTCAAGGCCTTGATGTGGCCCTCAGCGACCCTGTGGCAGCAGTCATGACTGTGGTGAGGGTCGGGGTAGGGTCTCCTGCCCCACACTTGCTGACCCATGCTCTGGCCCCAGGTCTTCGACGCCGGGGAGATGTTCGGGATAATGCAGGTGGAGGAGGTGGAAGAGGAGGAGGATCCAGCTGCCGGGGAGGCACGAAGGAAGCAGCCCAATCCCGGGAGTGAACTGTGCTACAAGGTCATCGTGACCAGTGAGAGCGGGCTTCGGGCCGCAGACCCCAACAGGTAGGATCCCAGGCCCTCCATCCAGGGCCCAGCCCACTCTTACAAAGCTACAAAGCTTGCACCAAATGTTGGCTGTTAGGGCAAAACTAAGTGCAGACACTCTGCTTCCTGTGTGCCAAGCAGCATCTTGGTCCCAGGACAAGCCAGTGCTGTGCATGCATGGCCAGTGCTGTTCCCACAGGGCTTCACAGTAGTGTCTGTTCCAACATGGTGAAGTCCCCTGAGTGCCTGCCTGTGATCTCACCATTGTCACAGTGGCCCCCTTGCAGGGTGTAAGACTTTGGTTTTGCTGAAGCTTTTGGGCATGGTTGCCCAGTTGGCTGAGGCTGGGTGCTGCAGGTGCCTGCCTGTTCCTAAGCATGGCTTCTCCTTGGACCCTTTCTTGGAAACAGGAACCTCTGAGACCCAGGGCAAGGCTGGTCCTGCCCACAGCTTCCTGTCTCCCAGGGACCACACTAGAGATATCTCCTGCCAAAGTCCTTGTTGGAATCTTAAACTTGTGCTGGCCCCTAAGGCTTACAGGGTCTGTCTCCTGGGGAGCTTTTCCGCCTCTTCCACCTGCCCAGCACCCCCACCTATCATGCAGTTGGGCCCAGGCTCGCCTCCTCCCCCAGGGCAGTGCGGTGAGTCAAGCAGCCGCCTCAGCTTGGGGCACACTCAGCCCTCGTCACACACCCCACCTACAGCAGGCCTGGGAGGGGCTGGGGGTCTGGCCTGGGTTTGGAGCCTTGGGTGTTAATTTCAGCTTCAGCTTTCCCCAGTTGCCCAGCCCCAACAAGCTCCTAGGCCCTCTCTTCCTCAGCACCCACTGGGTACAACATCTTGTCACGTTGCCCAGGGTCACCCCTGCATCCATCTTCAAGGGCCTAGCTCCTCCCTGAGTTCTGGAGTCTTCAAATCTCTGTCTCTGGATATGTAGCAAACCAAAAATCTAATATAAGCACAGCAAAGTAAACTTTCCTGAACTTGCCCTGAACTTAAGGACCAGTGCGTTAGCTGACCCTTTCATTTTAAAGGGGTTGGATTCAGCCAGGAACAACCATGCCCATGAGCCACTTGAGTGCTTGGCCCCTCCTAAGCTAGTAGGGCCTCAAACCCGGGCAGCCCCATCCTGGGGGTGGCAAGAAGGCCTGGCCTCAGACCTGCAGGGGAGCACATGCCTGCCATGCTCTTGCAGGAGCTGTGTACTGTGTGCAGGGCTCAGCTCTCCCTCCAGAGGCCTGGTGTGCATGGGCACATTCTGTGGGGCAGCTCCTTTGCACTCCCACTTGGCCTCCTGGTGTGGGGACCTTTGTTTTAGATGACCGCCTGCCCCAGGCCTGTTCTGCACCCACTTAGTCCAGCCATGGACTCTTACATGAGTGACCACTATTGCTTTTCACCAGCACTCAGCCAAGTCAAGAGTGCTGGCTATTTGGAACCTTTTTTTTTTTTTGCACCGAGGATTGAACCAAGGGGCACTTAACCACTGAGCCACATCCCCATCCCTTTGTAATATATTTAGACAGGATCTTGCTAAGTTGCTTAGGGCCTTAGAGATGGCTTTGAATTTGGGATCCTCCTGCCTCAGCCTCCCAAGCTGCTGGGATTACAGGCATGTGCCACCCCACTGGTTCCAGTTAGCACATTTAATTAACAGAATGATGGGTTTCATTGTGGCATGGTCATGTACTCAAATAACACTCTAGTCATCCCTTTCTCTTCCCCATCCCTGCCCTCCTATCCCCTTCCTCTCCAGTAGCCTCCCTCATGCTGGATCTCCAGACCCGTGTGGTGCTGACATCCACCTGGTCATGGGAAATGGGGAACCCCAGTGACCTGCATTAGAGCTCAGAGGAGGTGGCTAGCTGGAAGCCGTATACTGGGTGACAGAGCTGGGGTCTTGGCCAAAACCCATCTAAAACCATCCATAACCATGTTGGTGGGTTAACTGGGTCTCAGAAGGATGGGTACAGGACCTAGCCTTGGGTGTCTTCTCCCTTCTGGTCCTCCTCTTTCCCCCTTTCCCTTTTGCCATGCCTGCTCGGCAACTCACATGTGTCTACAGCATCTTCCTCATCGACCACGCCTGGACGTGTCGCGTGGAGCATGCCCGCCAGCAGCTACAGCAGGTGCCAGGGCTGCTGCACCGCATGGCCTCCTTGATGGGCATCGAGTTTCATGGTGAGCTGCCCAGCCTGGAGGCTGTGGCCCTGGTGCTAGAAGATATGTGGAAGTTCAACCAGACCTACCAGGTGGCCCATGGGGTAAGCCAGCCACTGGGTCCCAGGGAAAGGGAGCACAGGCGGGGCCTTTGGGCCGTCAGGGCTGGTGGGAGCCCCCACAGTGAACAGGGGTCGGAGGTGGAGGCAGAGGGCCTGCCCTGGCAGCAGGCCCAGGGCAGCGGCTTGCACCTCTGGCCCAGGGTCTGCCTCTCTGTGGGCTCAGTCCCGGGCCACCTCCTTTGGAAGGGGCATTTTTTCATGTGGCCTCATCAGGAGAGGCTGACCCCCTTGCTCAGGACCAGCCAAGGCTGGGCCCCAGGTGCTCGCCCAGGCTTGGAGCTCACAGGACCCAGCTCTCAGACCCCTGAACCTGAGCCCAGACAACTGAGCTGCCTCTGCCCTGTTCCCTTCTGTCCTCTGGTTCTGCACCAGCCTTAGGAGGGGAGTCCAGGCCCTTTGGCCTGACCGGGGCCTTCACTACCACCTATGGCCTCTCCAGGCCCCAGCCCCTCGCCACTCTTAGTTCAGGAAGTCATGCTTGCTCCTCCTCGGCCCGCTGCCTCCAGAGAGCCTTCCCTGAACTCAGACTCCCTTCCCCACCACACGGAAAGTCCAGACTGTCCGCATGGGGATGAGCCAAGTGCCTTTTTACCACACACGTTGTCACGCTGTGTTACATGGGCTCTGTCCTGGTCTACAAGGGCAGGGCCCCTGTCCAGGAGGGACTAAACTGTCCCTCCAGACTTAGGAGAGCTGGGCATAGGAGAAAGGTGACAACTGCAATCACTCCATGCTTCTGTGGGCCGTGGTGGGCAGGCCGGTGGAGGGCACAGGGCAGAAGGAGCAGGCGGTGGACATGTGGGTGAGGGCTGCCCTGTGCCCTGCCCACAGACAGCTGAGGAGAAGGTGCCGGTGTGGTACATCATGGACGAGTTTGGCTCGCGGATCCAGCACGCAGACGTGCCCAGCTTCGCCACGGCACCCTTCTTCTACATGCCCCAGCAAGTGGCCTACACGCTGCTGTGGCCGCTGAGGGACTTGGACACAGGCGGTAAGTCAGAGCCTCCCCACCCTGTAGGACGGGCCTCGGCCAGCTCCTTGACGCCCCCACTGATGGGCACGCGTGTCTTGGCGCAGAGGAGGTGACCCGGGACTTTGCCTACGGAGAGGCAGACCCTCTGATCCGGAAATGCATGCTGCTGCCCTGGGCCCCCACCGACATGTCGGACCTCAGCTCCTCCACGCCCGAGCCGCCCGCCGAGTACTACCAGGTGTGGCCCTGCCTCCACCTCCAACCCAGGCCTGTTGGTCTGGTGGCTGCTGGAACGTTCTCCATCCGTCACCACGTTACTGAACACTGCTGGGTGCCAGGCGCCGAGCTGGTTACTGGGAGCGGGAAGGTGTTTGGGGCCATCTGAGGCAGGTCTTGCTGGAGCACGAGCAGCCTGCAACCACATGTTAAACAGTAGGTGACAGGAGCTGGTCCTCACAGGACGTCAGCAGATGCTGCTTGTTACCAAGGAGGCGCGGGCCTGCTCTGTCCCATGTCTCATCTGGAGAGATTTCCCTCCTGGGCAAAAGGACACTGGGCTTCCCTGGCTGTCCTCAGGTGACTGGTTCTGGGACCCTCATGGATTCCAGAATTTCCAGGTGGTGTGGTGTTCCCGTAGAACCTACACTTGTCACCTAAGACCGGAAGTGTTGTGTGAACCCTTGTTCATGTTGTTAGGGACAAGGGAGAGTCCACATATTCAGGACAGATAGAAATTTTTGACTGACCATCTGTTGGTTGAATGTGAGGAAGTAGACCCAGGGATAGGAAGGGCCGACCCCATTCAACACGACGCAGCCCCTCTCCCGCACACGGCAGGCCCTTGTCACTGAAATCAAAGTGATGCTCTGACTGGGCAGCTCCCCGTCAGGCCCCACCAGGATGTCGCTGGCCCACTCGAGCATGGGGCTGGTGGCAGGAGCTCATGCAGGGCCTGATACCAGGGGCTGTGGGTTAGGGACTGAGGGTCAGTGAGGCCCGGGGAGGCGGGTCCTATAAGAACACAGCTTCTGCCAGAGCCTCCCTCTGCCTGTGGCCTGCCACTGTGTCCCGTCAACTGGATCCAGCACACATGGGAGCTTGAACCTAGCACCACAGAAGCTCATTCTCCTGTGTTCCTTACAACCTTACAGTCCTGTTACATCTTCATTTTATTGAGGATGGGGAAGTTGGGGCACAGAGAAGTTAATTAACTTACCAGAGGTCACATAGCTAGTGCAGAGCCTGAATCTGAAACCAAGGGCACACGTTAGCCCACAGGCAGAGGCCACAGACCTTGCCTCACTGTGTTGGAAGCTGCTGAGCCACACAGACTGTGGTGCGTGGTATCTGGAAGGCTGCGGATGGGACTGAACAGGGCAGCTGGTGTTGGAGTGGTCGCTGCTATTGGCAGGGGTGGGCCTGGGCCTGAGCCTAGCAACACCTCCGTGGACATCAGTGGTGACCAAATGGCCCCTGCCAAGGGACTGCCCTTGTCTGTCCAGAGGCATGTCCATGCCCACGGTGTGCTCAGTGAGCTCGGGCCTGTGAAGCAGGGGTGCAGGGGACGAGGTGTGAGTCTGCCTTGGGGACAGTTGCGTCCTGGTCTTGGCTGTTAGTGGAAGGCAGATCTTTGCCTGGGGGCTCTGTGCTGACAGGAGCCAGGGCAGCCCCGCATCTGAGACATCCGTGCTTTCCTGCTGGACTCGGCAAGGTCGGGCCTGCGCCCAGGTTCACTCTGGGTGCTGACTGAGCGGCCCAGACCCTAGCAGCTCACAGCAGCAAACCTGTCACCTCACACAGTTCCCTTGGGCAGGAGTGGCTCAGTGCTGCTTTCCGGCCCGGGCCTCGGCATATGGGCCTCTGTGGGCTGCTGAAGCCTTGCCCCACACGGAGACCGACTTCCTTGGAGCTAGTGGCTGAGAGAAAGTGAGGCGGAGCCACAGGGCCTGTGGTCTGGCCGGAGCAGCACACTGTAGCTGCTGCCTTCCCTTCATTAGCAGTGGCTCCCCGGGTCCAGCCCACTGAGGTAATGGACCAAGAGCTGCCTTGTAAAGGGAGTGTCAGCCCCAAGTCCTCCACTCCTTTCCTAAGGCCCAGGTCTGGCTGTGACCCCCCTGCCCCGCCTCCCTCCCTAGTTTTGTGGGCAGGCTGTAAACCATTGCAGCATATGCTTGGAGCAGCCCTGCCCGCTGGAGCCCCCCAGCCCCTCCTAGGACAGGCCTGCCACCCGCTTACTCCCTGTGATCTGGAGATGATCCTGAGGAAGTTGGAAAATGTTTGCCTTGTTCTTTTGACACCAAAGAAGAACTGCTGGGTACCGAGGGGCCATGAGTTCCAGAATCCCAGGTGGGGGTGGCCAGGGGCAGCGAGTGCCCACCTCTGCAGGGCCCCACCTCAGGGCCGGGCTGGGAGGCACCTTCTCCTGCTCCCTTCACTAAGGTCTGTTTCTGCCTTTGGTGTGTTTCCTTCTAGGCCATTCTGGAGGAGAACAAGGAGAAACTGCCACTTGCCATCAGCCCTGCAGCCCATCCCCATGACCATGTCTTCAAGTAGGTGCCCCTTCTCTACCCTGGGGCTCCTGAGTTGCCAGCTCCACACTCCAGGCCCAGACCCAAGCCCCAGAGCACTGCCAGGCTCATGAGCCCTGAGTCCTGGCAGCTTGCTGTCTGCGCAGAGATCATAGAGGAGAAGCAGCAGAGCAGGGAAGGCCCTGGACTCTCCCTTGGGATTCAGGATGGAAGGAGGCGTACAAACCCTGGTGGGGTGAGGACACTCCAGGCTGAAGCTGGGGCCACCGCCAGTCCCGGCTCAGCCATGCAGGGGCACCCCCAGGTATCTGTGTGCATTTGATCTTAGACCTGAACAAAGGCTGGCCACTCCCCAGAATGGGTGCCTGTGCTGACTGAGTGTGCTGGGTGCTGGAAGAGCCACCTGGGCTGCCAGGAGAGGCCCTTCCCGGGGCCTGCAGGTGTAGACTAGTGGATCATAACAACTAAGCGGGCAAGTCCAGGCTGGGCCCTGCAGATAGGTAGCCCTTCCACTTTCTCGGTCTTGGATGGCTGAGCACGCTTGTCCTTCCAGGAAGGTGGGAACTGTCACTCCGGCTTACAGGTTAGAAGCAGAAGTACAGGCACCGTGCCCACCTGGTGCTGAGCAAGGCCTGGGCAGGTCCACCTCAGTCGGGACGGATGGGTCTCTGCCTTCATGCAAGCCCTTCCTGGAAACCCCCAGACACCTCCCTGGGCTGCCTAACCTGGTCCAGCCAGAAATGGACAGCACCTGCACTCTGCCCCCACAGAGCCTCCACCCCTTTCCTGAGGACAGAGGCTGCGCTGGCCTTTCCTGAGGCCCCAGTCTGGCTATGACCCCTGCCCCTCCCCTCCTTGGGGCAGAAGCACATGGAGGCCCCACTTGTGGTCCTCCTGCTCACAGTCACTTCCACCATGTGCCCTGCCTCAGAGCACTGCCCGCCTGGCTCCCCTGCCCTGTGCCCCTCCCACCTTCACATTCAGCTCCACCCCTTCAATGAGCAGGGTCCACCCCTCCCCCAGCAGGGGCTCCAGGACTCTTGTCTTGACCCCACACTGGCCTGCTTGGCCCTCAGCTTCAGAGGAGCGTTCTGGGGATATCAGCCCCTCTCGGCAGGCTCTTAGCACGTCCAGGGGAAATTGGCCCGCTCCATCCTCCTTTTCCACATGGGGGAGGCCCAGCCTTCACTCAGAAGGACTATTTCATTCTGAAGACAAACAGGAGGCAGGCCATGTGCCATCCTGCAGTGGGACATAAGAGCACGGGCTGTCCCCGTCCTTCAGCAGATAGTAGAGGGAGCAGGTCTAGACCGCCCTGCCCTCCCCTCCCCAGGGTCCACACGGACGTGCAGCAGGTGCTCAGCCACCTCACCCACCCACGCTTCACCTTCACCCCGAGCGAGGCAGACGCCGACATCCTCTACCACTTCTCCCACTTCAAGGACTACAGGTGGGGTGCCCCCGGCCTCAGCAGGCTCCCGCTCCCCTCCCTCACCCACCCAAGCCCTCCTTCGCCCTGAGCCCACCCGTTCCTGCTGCCACCTGCAGGAGCCTCAGCCAGGAGCGGCCGCAGGTGCTGCTGAACCAGTTCCCCTGCGAGAACCTGCTGACCGTGAAGGACTGCCTGGCTTCCATCGCACGCCGGGCAGGGGGCCCCGAGGGCCCCCCCTGGTTGCCCCGGACCTTCAACCTGCGCACGGAGCTGCCCCAGTTTGTCAGCTACTTCCAGCAGCGGGAGAGGCGGTAAGCCCCCAGATACGGCGCCTGGAAACAGGCCCCTGTGGCGTCCCATCCACAGCTGGTGCCGGCGGCTCGTTAGCTGAACACCACCGTGTGCTGGTGTGTGCTGACCACAAGCACCCTCACCTCTCCAAGGCCTCTGCACCCAACCTCTGAAAGCCCCCTACTCCTGGGCCCGCCTCCAGTGCCACCTCTGTGACATTCCTAGGGCCCCTTAGGAGATGTTGGCCTCCCCCTCAGTGACCAGGGTCCTGGGGTGCTTGGCTGGGAGGGCAGGCCTCAGGGTGTAGCCTGGCCGTGCCCTCCTTGCAGGGGGGAGGACAACCACTGGATCTGCAAGCCCTGGAACCTGGCCCGCAGCCTGGACACCCACGTCACCAGGAGCCTCCCCAGCATCATCCGGCACCGGGAGAGCACTCCCAAGGTGGGCAGCCTGGCGGAGCTTGAGGGCTGGGACCCCTGCAGCTAGGTCCAGGTGTCGGCAGTGACTGGGGTCGCCGGGCACACAGGGATTGGAACTGGGGCAGGGCCCTCTTGGAAGCCCCGTCCTTCCTTCCACAGCCACTGCCAGTGCCAGTAGGGGAGGGCCAGTGTGGCACTCCAGGTGGGAGCAGCGGAGACCCTCAGAACTGTCCAGTGTAGCCAGCCACAGCCAGGCGCAGTGGCGCACTGTAATCCCAGCAGCTCAGGAGGCTGAGGCAGGAGGAGCGCGAGTTCAGAGAACTTGCTGCGCCACGTAGTGTAACAGCCCAGCAGGAGCAGTGGCCAGGCATGGAGCCCCTGGGCCTGTGGTGGCCTCCAGGGGCAGCACAGGGGGTCACAGGACTGGAGACTCATCCAGGCTATGGCTGCCGTGGTGGGTCATGCATGTGGACAGGGCTGGAAGGCCCACAGTGGCAGCTTGGGACAGTGGGACAGAATGGTAGAGTCTGGGGGAGGATCTGTGTTGTTTCAAACGCTCAAACGGAGAGTTTTTTTCCTTCAACTAAAGTCGAGATGAACATGGAGACACTAGCTGCTGGCTAGAGCATGGTTTTCAAGGCAGATGTGGGGTAAAGTGCCACTATGACTGGCCCTGGGTGCCAGGTGCAGGGGCCCTCGGTGGGCAGATGGAGGAGCTGGCCCACAGGTGCAGGAGCTCAGGGTACTGCGTCCCACCCAGGGGAGGTAAGAGCGGTCAGCGAGCCGGCATCTGTGTCCTCCAGGTGGTATCCAAGTACATCGAAAGCCCCGTCCTGTTCCTTAGAGAAGACGTGGGCAGCGTCAAGTTCGATGTCCGCTATGTGGTGCTGCTGCGCTCTGTGAAGCCGCTGCAGCTGTTCGCCTATGACGTGTTCTGGCTACGCTTCTCCAACCGGTAATGGGCTGGCTGGTGAGGGCCAGTGGGTCTGGGCCCGGGACCTTCCTTTATGGTGGGTCACAAAGCCTGTGCTGGGACTTCCCACACCCACCCACCCAGCAGCCCCTGGGTATCGGGTAGTGATGACGCGCCTTGGTCCTCCTGAGTGACCATGCCTTGGCTGTGACCTGTGACAGGTGACAGCGGGAGAGCCAGGGTGCGTCACAGGGAATCTTCACATCATGCTGCCCACCAGCCCCCACCCACTGGTGAGACAGGTGCAGAACTGGGGGCCACTGGGGAGCCGCTGCGCACTGGGAGCCCACAAGCCGGCCTGTCTGCTTGTCCCCCAGGCCCTTCTCACTTGACGACCTTGACGACTATGAGAAACACTTCACCGTCATGAACTACGACCCAGACGTGGTGCTGAAGCAGGTGGGGCAGCCACGAGGCACCTGCAGGGTTCCTGTGTCCCCTCGGGGTGTCCTGTTCTCCCTGCCACCTGAAGTGCGCTGTGCCTGAGGATGTGGGGGCAGGCGGGCGGCCTGTCCCAAGGCGGGTCACAGCAGAGTGGGGCTCAGCAGGTTCCCCCCAGGAAGCTGCCTCGCCTGGGAAGACACAGCTGTCCCTTCAGCACTCTGAGCACAGGAATGGAGGGGGCCATGGAGGTGCCTGTTGCCTGGCCCCACAGGAGACAGGGCAGCCCCCGCCCCGTGCCCACCTGGCCCTGCCCCTGCCAGCCTGTGGCCCTTCCTGGAGCCACATCTCCCATCTTCCCTGTGCGTCTGTCCCTCCTGGCACACGGTACATGGCAGTGGGGCTGGGGGTGCTGGCAGGAGGCCTCAGGCGGTGCACCTGAGCCAGGCAGGCACAGCCTGGGCAGAGCTCGGGTCCTCGGAGGAGGAAAGGAGGACCAGGCCACGGCATTCACTGCCCCAAAGCTCTCTGCCCTGCCGGCTGGTTGGCAAGGGTTGAAGACAAGCCGTTAGGCTCCCCCAGCTGCCTGCCTGCTCCCTCTCCTGAGGCATGACCACCGTCCAGGCACCTGGACTCCTCAGCATGTGCTCGAGCACGCCCCCCGAATCTCTGCCACCAAGCGCCATGCTCCTGGATGGGCTTCACTAAGTGCAACCCCAGGGCGCCCTGTGGCTTCCTAATTCCCACGGTTATTCACCTGAGCCAAGTGGGGCATTCTTGGAGGCATCCTGCTGACCCTACCTGAGAGGGACCTGGAGAACGGGAGCTGCTGGGTAGCAGTGCTGGGCTCATGCACACCCGGCCAGGGCCATGTGGTCCTGCTGCTGCTTGTCCCTCTTTCGTCCTTGGTCACGTTGAAGGCCAGCACCCAGAACAGCCATGAGGGCCCCAGAACGTGGTTGGTGCCGAGTCCCTTCTCTGCATTGTGAGGGGGTCATCTCCAGAAGCCCTGTGCACGAGAACTCATGTCCTGTCCACGTGCTGGGCTTCCTTGGGGCTCGCCCTGTCTTGCCCTTCTCTGGAAGAAATCCGAGCCAGCTTATTCAGGCCTTTCTTGGGGTAGAGTCTTAGTCTGGTGGAGATCTCGCTGTTTTTCAGCAGTGCAGGGACACAGGTAGGGCCCTGAAGACTGGGTCCAGGCTCTGTTTCAGGTGGGCTGTCCTGGTCTGGGTGCTGAGCTGCCCTGACCCTGCTGTCTGACTCAGCCTCCCGACAGCCTTGAAATCAGCTTGCTGTGTAGGTGTGTTCCCCGTCACAGGAGGAGACAGGCTTGGAGGTTGACATGCTTTGCCAGAGTCTCACAGAAGCCAGAGTTTAAACCCAATCTCTTTTCCCCTTTGTAACCTGGGGGGCTTGGGCCACATGCTGTCCTGCGGTGCTGTCCTATTGCCCCAGCAAAGCAAGAGTGACCGCCTGGCCCTGTGTATTGCAGGTACACTACAATGAATTCATCCCTGAGTTTGAGAAGCAATACCCAGAGTTCCCCTGGAGTGGTGTCCAGGTGAGTCCCAAGCTCCACTGGTGGCAGGGCCAGGCTGCACACCTGCAGGAACCACCCCTCACACTCTGGGACTGGGTGGCTCTGAGCACGTGGGTCAGCCAGAGGGCAGCAGGCTCCATCTGCTAGAGTGACCTGAGTCCCCTGGAGGCAGGCTGGGCCTGTGAGTCCCTGGTGAGCCACGGGGGTGCTAGGGCAGGAGATGGGGCAGGTTTGCTGAAAGTGGACCTGGGGGCTGAGGTGTAGCTCTGGGGTAGGACATTTGCCTGGAAATTGCAAGTTCCTGGGTTTGATCCCCAACACCAGAAATAAAGTAGACTCCCAGAGAAGGGAAAATGTCAGGTAGAGGTGACATGGATAGGTCTAGAGACAAAGGGTGTAGGGGGTGTTGACTTGGGCCATTTCAGGGCTAGGGTTCAGGCAGGGACAATGAATTGAGGCAGCTCTGGGAGGCCAGTCCCGGCATTAGGACCAACAGGCCCCTTGACTCACCCTCCCCGTCCCTAGGCTGAGATCTTCCGGGCCATCATGGAGCTGTTCCAGGTGGCATGTGCCAAGCCACCACCCCAGGGCCTCTGCGACTACCCCGCATCCCGGGCCGTGTATGCCGTTGACCTCATGCTGAAGTGGGACAGCCGCCCTGATGGTGAGGAACCACCCAGGCGGCCTGGCCCTCTGGAGGGGGGACACCTGCCATGCAGAGGGAGCCCCTGTCTCCCTGGCCCCAGCCAGGCCCTCTTGGTGACAGCCCACCCTGCCAGCACTGCCTCCTCTTCCCCTCTGGGCTGAACTCAGCGTCTGCCCTTGCTGTGATGCACTCTCGTCCCTAGGGCTACAGTCTGCTCCTGCCTGGCCATGGGGGCAGGTGGCAGTCCAGGCCAGCCTGCAGAACCAGGAGACTTATTTCCAGGTCCCCATCCCTTGGTCCCCTGCAACCTTTTCACCTGCTTTCCCTCATCCCCAGGAAAGCGGGTGATGCAGCCCCAGATCCTGGAGGTGAACTTCAACCCAGACTGTGAGCGAGCCTGCAGGTACCACCCCAGCTTCTTCAACGATGTCTTCAGCACCCTGTTTCTGGACCAGCCCAGCGATTGCCATGTCACCCGCCTCGTCTAGGGCCTCCCACCTGTTCTTGCTGGCCAGGTTGGGGCCTCAGTTCTCTGAGCTCCTCCTGCCAAGACCCTGACCTGCCACCTCCTCTTCTCCAGTCCCTGACCAAGTCATAGCCTCAGCCCAAATCCTCTGCCTTCCCGGCCCTGTCCCTGTATCACCCACTGGGATTGAGGGTCCTCCTCTCTGCTATGGGTCAGTGAGGACACCACTGGGGCCAAGTGGTACCCCAGCCCCCTCTACACCCCTCACCACTGACTACGTGAGTGAGTCCCCAACTTTATCAAGGGCTTTGTTCCTGGCACCGGGAGAGTGTGGATCCTGGGCTGCTGTTTCCAGAGGTTAGGGGACAAGGGTTCCTTAGAAATGGGGCTCTGAGGGAAATGTTTGGGAACTCTGCATAGAATGAGGCCTCGTTGGGTCTCTTTCCACAGTGTGCCCTCTTGCCTCATGGCTCCCCCAAGCGGGGTGACAGATGCCCCAGAAAGCCTGGGAAACCCTGGCCACCAGCCACACTCCAGCCCCCACCAGCAGACCTCTGCCCATGGCCACGCAGGAGGGCCGGCTTCTCCCTTCTCATGTTTGAGAGTGGCCTGTCCTCTGGAAAGTTGGCCTACTCGAGTTCCCACCAGGGCCCACCTGCTCACCAGACACCTCGCCACCCTCTGAGATGGGCTGAGGTGCTCTGGAGAGGGTCTCAAGGACGAGTGTGGGTGGCAGAGCACCAGGCAGGAGTGGCTGAGAAATGGCCGTGGCTAGCAAGATGATTCCAAGGAGGACCTCAGTTCAAGACAGGTGCTGTTGTCACTAAGGTCCAGAGTCAAAGTGTGGGCATTTTGTTTTTTAACTTATGGGAAGAAAATGTAAAATTTTAGTTCTTTCCTAATTTTTTTCTGGAATTTGTGGTCACGTGCCAGCGTTCCTTTGTTTCATGGTCTTGGAGTGTTGTTCTGTGGTCCTGAGGATGGAACCCAGGGCTTCTCACTTGCTAGACAAGTGCTGTACCACTGAGCTACATCCCCAGCCCTTTTTCATTTGGGGACAGGATCTCACTAAGTTGCTCAGGCTGGCCTTGAACTTGTGATTCTCTTGCCTCAGCCACTCAGTAGCTGGATCACAGGTGTGTGCCCAGCAGCTGCCAATGGTTCTGGTGTAGCTGCAGTGCAGTGGGCAAGTCTGTGTCCAGGTAGGCAAGAGCTGCTTCCAGAACTTTCCAGCACACAGGAGGACAGGACAGGGATGTGGTGTCTGTTTCATTTTTGAAGCTAAAAGCAATTCTTTTCATAACAAAACTGGGTGTGATTCTGCCCACCATCTGTCTCCAGGCACATGGACCACCTCTTTGACTCCCCTCACCCTTTAGCTGGACATGGCCCTCCCTCCGCCCAGCAGGGCCATGGCTGTGGAGGGCAGGGTTGATGCCGCCTCTAGTTTCCTCACCTGGAGGGTGGGCTGCTAGCCTCCCAGCTCTCACCCTGCTTAATTTGTACTGCAATAAAGTATGGCTTCTTCTTTGATGGCTGCTCCTTTCTCTGGGGTCCTGGAAGCACAGGCCTAGGCTGGTGTGGCAGCTGTGTCCCCTAGAGTCAAGACTGTAACAGGGTGTGGGTGAAGCTGACTGCGTCCAGACCACCGGGTCCTAACAGGTGGCACTCATGTTGGCTCCGGGTTCACCTAAAACCTGTGGCACAGTGGGCAGGGGTGGTCACCGAAATCAGGTCCATGTGTCCCCTGAGAAATAGTGACCAAGCACACTTTTCTGTTTCTAGATGTCTATGCAAACAACCCCCAAGCAAGGCCACCAGCAGGGACTCCATGTCCCAGCTGAGGCACTGACATGGAGATGATGCTGGTCCCACGGAATGCTTTCTCCTGGGCTCAATGGCACCCTAGTCACCCTTTTTGGTGCTGAGCACGTGGAGTTGCTGGAGAGGCCTGGTAGTGGTGGCCTGTACCGCAGACCTTCGGGGCGGTACTGAGGAAGTCCCAGAGGTCCCTCTGCATGCTGTTGGTGGAGTCGGCATGGTGGCGCTCTGGCTGTGTGGGATGCCCACCTGTGGCAACTCTCCCAACAAGGGTGCCGCCCACAGTAGCACAGCAGAGGCCTGTCACCCTAGTCCAGAGTACCTGTCCACAAGTGTCTGATGGACCCGGGGTCATCAATCATTGGGGCTTCCATGCGGACAGCAGCTGGCCAGGCCCTCTGGCTGTGCAAAGGCCTGGTTTGATGCCCTGCTAGCAAGGCTCTGCCCCTTCTGAGCCTGGGCTGAAGAGCCTTTGGGCTCCTGCAGGGCACCAGCACGTTCCTTGGCCCCCTTCCTTGGCAGGCTTGGGAGGGACGCTGGAGGTCCCCTCTGTGCCAGGAGAGCCCGGCCCATGAGAGGGAGCCCTGTCACATCTGCCAGAGCGAGGGCGGGGTTTCCCAGTGCAGTCCTGCTGATTTAACATCAAGAGCCAAAACCAAAAAGGCCCCGCTCTCAGGCCTGGCCCTGGGGAGCGGCCACAGCCAGGTCTTAGGAGGCTGCCGCCAGGCTGTAGTAGCTGGTGGCAGGAGAGGCGAGCCCTTCCCGAGGCCATGGCTGGTGCACCACACTGTCTAGTCTCAGTACTCCAGACAGCTGCCTGGACAGGTCAAGGTCACTCACTTGGAAGCCTGGGGTGCAGGGACACCTCCAAATCCTGGTGGGTCTGGGCCAGCAGAAAGCCTTGTTTGCTGGGGTTGGCCTGGTCTCCCGCCAACAGGGTATTTCAGGGCCACCCGGAGGGGAGAAGCTGGTGCCAAGCAGGTCAACTGGCATTCCCAGCCCTGCCAGTGTTGTCCTAGGCAAAGCCGGTTGAGGACCCAGGCAGGGCCAGCATGGGACGCTGGGCCTGGGCTCAGCATCATGGGAGCTGTGGGAGCTCACGTCCTCAGGGCACGACCCACCCACCCTCAGGGTCTGGAGGGTCCCAAGAGGGTGCTGAAGCCTGGCTGGTACAGCCTCACCTGGTTGTGCAGCCCAGAGCCACCCACAGAGACATCCTATGTATCACAGCCCATCCCCTCCCCACAGTCAGGGGTCCCATAAAGGCCACCGTGTGGAAGGTTAAGAACTTTACTCGGCTTGTCAAGCCCTGTGCTCTGAGGGCGCAGCAGAAAGCACGGGACACTGCCCCGGAGGTGGCTGGGCTTGGACGACCACCCCCAGAGCCGCTGGTGACCCCTAGGCGGAGACCCGGACAGACCAGCAGGCCCATGTAGTGGCCACGCCAGCAGGGGCACCCGACGGGCAGCGGGGCAGTCCTCAGCAGGCTGGCGCCTCACTCCTGGAGCCGCCCGCCACCGCGGCGGCCCTGGTTGTCCCGCCACACGCAGTAGTTGAGCGTGGTTGCAAAGGCCAGCCAGGCCAGGTAGGGGTAGAGCAGGCGGGCGGCGGGCGGGCTCACCCGGTGCCAGGCCACGGTAGTGGCTGTCGCCGCCCCGCTGATGAGCAGGAGGTCCACCAGGGCCTGCAAAGACAGGGACAGGGTGGCCTGAGGCTCCACAGCCAGAGCGTGTGCCCAACAAACCCTCCAAGCTGGCCCTAGGAGTCAGCCGGTCTCAGACCCGTCCCACCCCTTGTCCAGGCCACGCCCCTCCTGCTACCCATCATTCCTGCCTGGCCCACCCTGAGGGGGTAGGTGACAGCACCCTGAGGGGACACAAAGTTCAAGGGGGGGTGGAGGCTGGGAGCCTCCAGCCTCCACTGAGGGCTGCCCTGGCCTCCAGCATTTCTGCAAGGCTCCAACAAACGCCCTGTCCCTGTGCAGCGCTGTCCCTGAGGTGGCCCCGAGTGGGCCAGACTTCCCGGGTGGATTTCACTTCTCAGCAGGAACCGTTCGGAGCAGGGCTGGGGCTGGGGGCCAGCGCGGGCGCCTGCCTGGCTCCGTCTGTCCCCAGCACTGCGGGAAGAGCCGCTGCCACTGGGAAGCTCCAGGCCTAACAGGGGCTTTCCTCCAGGACGACCCCGAGCCCCAGCTGGCACCTGACCACCCTCAACAGGGCCTGCAGGGCTCCCTTCCTCCTGGGTGGAGCATCAGCCCATGGGAGGCCCCGGGGCAGGGGTCCTCCAAGAGCTACGCCCACAGACCCCCGCCCCCCAAACTCCACCCGTCTGGAGGGGATGTCCCAAGTGCTCAGAGGGGACATCTCCAGGGACCAGGAAGGAAGGCCAAAGGTACACTTACCCAACCCATTTGTCGGGCACCAAAGAAGATGGGGGGCCATGCCCAGTTCAGGGCCAGCTGCCCAGCGTAGAGGCCCAGGGGGACCACAGCCTCATCTGTGAAGCCCCCCAGCTCTTTCCAGACCACGTAGGAGCCGTACCTAAAACAGAGGCTTCCGGTCAGGACCTCACCGACCTCTCAGATGACAGTGATCGCTGCCACTGACTTCTGTGTAACTCAGGGAAACTGCTTAACCTCTCTGGGCCTTTGTTCCTCAGAGGATTGCTGTGCGGATTCAGGTCAACACTTAGTGCAGAACCTGGCATGAGGGACTCTCAATAATTATTTGGCATTGTCACCTTCCATGCCATGAAGGAGAAGCACATGGGCTGAGTGGGTGCAGAGGAAGCTCTTAAGCTAGCCAGGGGCAGCCCAGAGGATGGGCCATTTGGGCAGGCCTTAGAGGATGAGGCTTTGCAGGGGAGGGGATGGGACATGCAAAGGCCCTGAGGCAGGTGTGAGCCTAGTCTGTGTGCCTGCAGGGTGGGGTCTGGGGCCCAGGGAGGGCAGATGGCAATCTAGTGGCAGAGGCCACAGGGGCAACAGCCACATGCCACACCTGCAGGCCCTGCCCTAGCACTTCCCCCGCACTGGCCCATTTCATCCTCAGGACATTGCGGTTTGGTGGCAGTGTCATCCGCCCACTCCACATCAGGAAACTGAGGTTCAGGTAGAGGACAGATCTCTCGCAGGCACTGGGGGACAGCGCAGCAGGCGACCGTGGGGAGCCATGGGGTTGAGGGGCTGGGCCAGGTCCATGCTGCATTTGGATCTCCAAGGTGGAGGTGGGTCAAGGGCTGGGGGAGCCCCAGGAACTGGAGCCAGGATGGGGGAGGGGAGAGCAGAGACCCAGAAAGTCCTCAGAACCCGGCCCACTGGCCTTGAGGACCCTGGTGACACCCAGATTCAGGGTCATATTCCCATCAGAATCCCTGACACTGGCCCGGCCTCTGCTACCTGCCTTGTGTACCTGGTGCCTGCAGGCCCATCCTGTGCTGGGAGGGTGCAGCTGGGATGCAAGGAACATTCCAGAAAGAGCAGGGAGCCACTGGGGCCTCCAGGGGACGCTCTTCCCCACCCACCACTTTCTTCCCTCTTCAGAGACTCTCAGGCCTGGGGGTAGCTCCTGAGGGGATCCCCACTTACGAGCCTGTGTTCTTGGGCAGTCCCTGGTCAAAAGGAGGATTCTAGAAATCAATTTGGATAGTGCCTGGCACCAGGCAGCTGAAAGGGAGCTGCCATCGTGGCTGCTGTTGGCCACCAGAGAAAAGCACCTGCCACCTGACCCAGCTGGCCTTTGTACACTGCAGCGGCCCAGACAGGGGTGGCAGGGCCTGGGCGCCGTGGGGCCAGCCGCGGGCCACCCTCCCAGGGAGCCCAGGAGAGGGAAGCTCCCTGTGCAACCCGCAGGCCTGAGGCCCCCTCTCTGCTCCCCTGCTGGGGAAGGGCCATCCTCTGAAGGGGAGATGCCCCCCAGCCGCACACCTACCCCATGGCTGAGTAGAGAGTGCCCCAGACGGGAGCCAGCGCCCAGCGGGGCGGGTGCCACGAGGGCTTCTGCAGGGTGGCGTGCCAGCGGAGGCCCTCCCCGCGCACAAAGTAGGAGCCAGCAAAGCCCCCCAGGCTGGGCAGCAGTGTGAAGCCCACGGCGGGCACCCAGGGTGGAGCCATGGCTACTGCTCTTCCAGAAAGCTCTGAAAGAGAACACAGGGCTGGGGTGAGAGCCGTCCACTCCGAGGAGCCCGGGCCAGCCGACCTCCTGCAGGGTCTCTGGTGTCCCGGCTGCGCGATCCTCCATGGGTGTCAGTGCGGTTCAGAGGCGGTGGGGCCGAAGACTGAGGCCAGGCCATGCCAGCACCGAGCCACCTCCCAGCCCTTCTCCTCTATTTCTATTTTGAGACAGGGTCTCATACTAATTTGCATAGGACCCCACTAAGTTGCCCAGACTGGCCTCAAATCGGTGATCCTCCTGCCTCAGTCTCCTAAATTGCTGAGGTTACAGGCCTGGGCCTCTGTACCCAGCTCAAGTGGACCTGTCTCCACCTGAACTTATGTTCCCACCCAGAAGCCCCCAGCTGGCCAGGGGCTCTCGAGGGCTCTCAGGGGCCGTCTCTCCCCCAGGCTTCCCCTTAGCCACTGGCCAGCTTTCAGGGTCTCCTGTCCTCTCAACCTTGATCTCGGGTCTCGGGCAGGGACCTCTCCCCTCCTCCTTGATCAAAGCCAGTTCGGGTCCCCTCCATCAGGAAGGCCTCTAGGTCTGCCTCCTCCTGGGCGGGTGCCCACCGGGGCCCCGGAAGGCAGAGCTTCCGTCCTGCCTCTCACAGCGTACCCCTCTCCCTCAGGCAGACGGCGGGGCTCCCCCACACCTCTCCTTCCCTCAGCCTCACTAGGACCTCAGCAAATCACTGACTCTCTGGGCCTCCGTTTCCCACTCTGTAGACAGGACATTGGCACTGCCCACCGTGGGCCCCGTCCAGTGGGCAGCACCAGGGAGTGGCTCTGTATACAGATGTCTCCCCACCCAAAGGGCCCACCCTCAAGCCACTGCCCCTTTCCTGTGTACAAGAGATATAAAGTAGGCTGCCCTTCGTCACACCAAAGCCTGCCCAGGGCACAGTGCTGCTCCCACCCTGATACTCAGGACTGAGGGTGGCAAAGGTTCAAGGCTGGGGAGGTCCCCTGGCCCTCTCCTGGCCTCTCAGGCCAGATACTGCCACCCTGAGGGCCACAACCCTCCCCCTTTGGCAGGGGCAGAGGGAGCTGGCTTCAGGCTCCCCGTGGTGCTGGCAGGCCGTGCCCCCTTGCTCAGCCCTGGGCTGAGGACCTACTGGCATCCAGCACTTTGCAGGGCTCACAGCTGGGAGCCAGCCAGGCAGCAGGGAGCAGGGGATGGGCGTCAGGGGTCTGGATGGGGTTGAGGAGCTCAGCCCTCAGAAAGGGCAGCACTGACTGTGGCCAGGAAGGAGAGGCTACAGGAAGGTCAGTGAGCCCTTCCTGCAAAGGGGCACCAGAGGGACAGGCAGCATGTGGGGAGGAGGAGGTGGCCCACGTGGGCTGCAAGTGAGGGAGGGCAGGAGGGCGAGGGGCTGCAGGGTGGCTGGGAGGGGGAGTGCCTGACCAGGGCTCCGGAGCTCAGTGAATATGGAAGCAACCTCAGTGCCCAACAACTGGGGACTCAAAGACTGGTCAACCCTCAAGTCAAGCTCTGGAGGACCTTTTATTTCACTGACTTCACCTTATTCATTTTTCAGGGATAGGGATCAAAATCAGGGCCTCAAGCATGTCAGGCTAGAGCTCCATCACTGAGTGACATCCTGGCCCTTCTGAATGGCGAGACAACTGTTCTCAACATGACCCCAGCAAAGAAGGCAGAACATGACCCTGGCTGCAGGAGGACCCAACTGTGGCAAATAGTAACAATGACATGGACAACCACTGCTTAAATTTAACAAATGCATTAAGACAATGTCAGAGGTCATGGGCATGCTGACCGTCCTGGGAATGGCCACCTGCCAGGCCTGGCGAAGCTCGCACTGAACTAGCATCCTCCAGCCCTTGCCCAAAAGGGAGCCAGGCCACCGGGTCCCTGTCGAGGAAGCCCCAAGGCACAGAGCTGTGGAGGCTTGTGGCCAAGGCAGTTAAGAGCCTGGCTCACCACTGTATCACCTCAAGCAAGCTGGCCACCTCAGCGGCTGCTTGGCTCTGCAGTGGGTCATGACCCCTGCTCTGCCTGCTTCATAAATGCCTCAGCAAAGTGACAGTATGTGGGGACCATAATAAGCCCTGTTCGGTACATCCAGACCCCCCTGGAACTCGGCAGCCTGGGCACCCAGCGGGCCCCAGACACAGGAAGCAGGCGCGGAGGGGCGGGGCAGGGCTGCCGAGGGGCGGGGCAGGGCTGCCGAGGGGCGGGGCAGGGCTGCCGAGGGGCGGGGCAGGGCTGCCGAGGGGCGGGGCAGGAATGGAGCTGCCCGACCTCGGGTCTCCTCGTGGTGACCCGGTGCCTCTTCCCAGGTGCACCCAGGTTATGTCCACTCTGCCCCCACTCAGGGCCTCCCCCTCTCACAGTCCCTTCCATAAAGGTTAAAGCCGCCACTATAAGACAGATGGACGTCAAGACCCCTTGATCCACCCTCAGAAGTAGGCACACTTCTGCCCCCAACACTAACTGTCCGCCCCAAGCCTGAGGAAAACCAGGGGATCCTGCAGAGGCACATTCTAAGCACAGGGGACCCGCACTCTGTACCCCACGAAGGGCCACAGTCACGAAGGGCAAAGTCAGACACAGAGGGCGTGTCAAGCACAGTAGGGGTCCAACTCTGCACCTGGAGGGCCATGTTCAAAGCCAGCCTCAGCAACTTAGGGGGGCTCTAAGCAATTTAGCAAGACCCTGTCCCAAAATAAAAAATAAAAAGGGGCTGGGATGTGGCTCAGTGGTTAAATACCCCTGGGTTCAATCCCTAATATCAAAAAAAGAAAGAAAAGGCGGCAGCATCCCAGTCTGGATAGGACGTCACACATCACCCATGCCCCCACGCTGCCCTCTGTTAACAGAGTCAGCCCCTCCTGCAGGTCAGCTCTGACCCTTGGACATCCTGCTCCACCTGCTGCCAACCCACCAGCCTCCGTGCTCCTGCCCCGAGGCCTCCCGGGCTCCTGCAGGCTAGTTTTTCTTAATTGAGGTGAAATTCACCAATTTAAGACCAACCAGAGGAAAGTGCATGATTCAGTGGCCTTTGGCATAATCCCAGAAAGTTCCCAAACATCCTCATCACTCCCTGCCCCTGCCCTGAGCCCCTGGCACCCAGCGATGGTCTGTCCTGGACACTCGATGGCCACAGGATCCTGTAGCATGTGGCCTCTGTGTCTGACTAGGGGTCTGTCCACCCTAACCAGGTGGCGGCACTTCTCCCTGCATTCTGAGGACAGAGGCTCTCCTGCCGCCCTGCCACAGCACCCAGTGGGGCCAGGCAACCCCCAAACAGGACTGGCTGTGGATGCCCCTGCCAACCCACCTTAGAGCCAACCACTCAAGACCCCGATGTACAAAATAAGCCAAGGCCAGGCAGCGGGTGGCCTTCCAAAGGCCCCAGTCAGAGGACAGGGTCTCTAATTGGGGTCCACAGATGGGGGGATGAGCCCCCGGTTCCCACGCCACTGTCTAGCTGCCCCACAAGGGCCACACTGTGTTTATGCTCGACAGGCCCCAGGGTATCAGAGGACCTGCCCTTGCCCTGCCCAAGATCAGGCGCCCCGTGGGGAGAGAGCCAGGCCCAGGACGTTTCCTGGGGCCTCTTGGGGACTGCCAGCTCCTGACTCACACCTGCCTGGGGGGACAGGCAGCGGTGGGTGGTGCCCACCAGGCTGAGTCACCCTGGGCTGGGCTGGGCTGGCCAGAAATCAGCTCTGAGATGGGGCCCAGTGGAGGGCAAGGTAAACCCCTGGCAGGAACCGGATCTGCTCCGGCCTCGGCTGCCTCCTAGGTCAGGGGGCATTTTCTGCCCTGCCCACTCCAGGGTTCCTGGGAGGCCCAGGAGAAGGAAGAGCAGGGCAGCAGGACCTCCCTGGAAACTCCAGACAAGTGAGGGGCCCTGGGCATCCCTGTGGGGGCTGCCCGCCCCACTTCCTGCAAGTAAAGAAGTGGCCTCCAGGTTCAAACCCAGTAAGACCACAGCAGTCAAAAAATCCCCTGGACTCTCCCTAAGACCTGGGGCCACTCACCAGGAGCACCCCAGGCAAAGCAGAGGACCCAGGACCTGGGCAGGGGCAGTTCCAGGCCTTGCTCAACTCTGGCTACCCGCAGGCCTCCCCAGCAGCCGCAGGGCGGGGTCGTCTGCCTCTGAGGCTCACAGCTGCTTGGCCCCCAGGGGGGTCTCACTACTGGTCCCACTTTCCAGATGAAGAAGCTGAGCCTCGGGAAGTCACAGAATAGTCTAGGACTGTGTGACTCCAAAGCCCAATGCGGCCCTCCCTCCGCCCAAGCTCTGGGCCCCATGGCCACTCAGTGCCTATGTCATGTCCCCTCAGGCTGCTAAAGGCAGGATCTCGCTGCCATCTTCACAGGGTCAGGAGGTTCTCAGGGCCAATAGCATCACTGGCTCCGGCCACAGTGCCAATGTCCCAGCTTCTGGGAAGGCTAAGTAGGGGATGTGAACTCTCCCCAACTGAGGGTGGCACCCAGGATCTCCTGTTCTGGTGATACCTCACTTCTGGCCTGGAGACCAGACAGCTCCTGGGTCTCAATTCCTGAGCCTCTGTGTCCCCATCAGTGAAATGCCTGGGCTACCTCCTGTGCTGAGGCCTCCTTGGAGAGTGACCCAGAACAGAACGGAGTGGACCTTTTCTGTCCCATCATAATGTCCCCGTCCCCCCCAACCTGGCCATGTGCCCAGCTCCGCTGCCTTGTCTGCCCTGAAGCCATAGCTCTCCTGGGGACTCGATTTTTAGAGTCAAGGCTAATCCCCCTGATAACATTTGTGAACTTTTTCATTATGAAAGTAACGGTTGTGACAAGCAACAGGCCTAGAAGCCCCACGGCCAGCTGGCCACGGGGAGGTCGGCGCTGGGGAAAGGGACTTTATGGAGAGTGACCCATTTTTCAAACAAAGAGTGAACCCAGGCACGGCTTGCACGACCAAAAAGTTCAGTGTAAGAAGGAAACAGAACCCCCAAATCCAAGTCATGGGAAAGCGGGGTGTGCAGAGTGTAAAGGTGGCTGGGCCCGCGGCTCACCGCCCCCAGGGGCCCCGGTCCAGCTGATCCGTTCAGTCCGGGCAGCGGGCACAGGCGCGCAGAGGCGGCGCCGGGACCAGACCCGCGGACCTCGGGCTGCCCGCTGCCCTCGCGGCCGTCAGCCTGTCCTGCTGCTCCGCCGAGAGTCCCCTCGGGCCTCCCGGAGACACGGCGTCCCCTGCCCGGCGCCCGCCCCCTGGAGTCCCGCCTCGGTTCCCCTCGCAGCGCGCGGGCGGGACACCCACCGGGTCCGCGCGCCGGGACCCCCGCCCGCCGCCCCTCCGCCCCACTCACCCGCGGGCGGCGCGGGCTCCTCCCGGAAGGACGCTGCGCGGCGAGGCGGCGGCTGCTGGCTCCACCCCGTCCCGCCTGGCCTTGGCCTTGGCCTGGCCTGTCGCCCGCCTACCCGCGGCGCGCCTCCGCCAACCCCAGCCGCGGGCGGGTCCCTGCGCTGGGCGTCGCGCCAGCCTCGCTGTTCCTGTCTGTTCTATGGGGGCAACAGTCACCCGTCTCAGGGGGCATAAAGGACAAAGCCAGCTTCGCCCCGGTTCGCTCAGCCCTGGCCCCCATCTCCGCAGGGGCAGCCCAGTGCCTAGAGCTGTTGCCCCTGGGCACCCCAGTCCTGGTCCCCGACGCCGCTGCCTGTTTCTCTATGCCCCATCTCCTCATTGCTGAAATGCAATGATAGGACCAGGGGCGCGCCACGCCCTCGTGCCCCAACACAGGGCAGAGGGGAGACTGCCATCCTCACAGGGCAGAGCTGCGCTCCAGTTTGCCTGGGTCACCCTCACTCGCTGTGCCTGACCTGGCGTCCACCCGGCAGTGCCTGGTACCTGCACCAGCCACTGTGGTTCATGGGGGTCCTCCTGGGGCCCAGGAGAGCTCCAGCTACATCTTCCCAGGCACAGCAGCCTGGAGCCTCCTTGGGACCAGCCGTGGGGGCAGCATGACTTTCCAGGGACCTGGCATCTTCCTCTTTGTGGCCCCTTTTTCCACTAAACACACACACACACACACACACACACACACAGTTTTTGACTGTTAGCATAAGCACAAGTACAACCTGGGTTTCATTCACCCCTCTTTTTTCTTCTAAAAAAAAAAAAAGGAACATTTGTGTACCCCAGGAAGTATGGTGGCCCTCAGCCCAGTGCCCTGTGTTCCTACTGGAGAGGCTGCCAGCCCCGCCCTCTTCCTGTAAGGAACTGAGGGCTTGGCAGGATGACAGACACCTCCCCTCAGGCCCAGGGGAGGAGGCAGCACAGCCCTCCTTCAGCCTCACCCCCACTCTGCTGGGCTCTGTGCAGTGGGGCACCCTGAGAGGCAGGGATTGCTGTCCCCACATAGCTGCTCTACCCCAGGGTCAAGGGGCGGCGCGGAGGCCCGACCCTCATTCCACTCACAGATGAGGCCGCTGCAGGTCTTAGGAGCCAGTCACCCGTCTCAGGGGTCATAAAGGACAAAGACGCAGACGCAGGTGCTGAGGCCATTCTACTGTGCGTGCAGCCTCCCATGACTCCGTCTCTTGCCCTCCATCCCTGCAGACCCCACCTGATCCTGGAGCAGGGACAGCCCTCGCTGCCCCCAGCTCCCCTCTTTCCCTCCAGCTGCGTGGGATGTGACCACACCCTCCTGTAGTGGAATCTAGTCAACACCTGGCACTTGAGAGTCCGCTCAGCTGGCGCCAAACTGACAACCCGCCCTCCCCACCCCTGAGCCTTTGCGCACACTGCGCCCCTGCCTGGAGCGCCCTTCGCACCCCCTGGACGTCTCCACGTGCCCAAGCCTGCGGGGGCTCCAGTGTGCACCAGGAAGCTCCTCAGAACTCTGACTCCTTCCCGCATTCTAAGGAGATGGCGACCTCCTCCCCTCTAACTACAGAGCGCTGAGCTCAGGAGCCTGTCTTAGGCACTCGGCCTGTGCCCACCTTGAGAGATGTCCTCCTGGGTGTCTGGCTCTGGGTTGAGCCGTAGAGGATGTCACACACTCAAACCCAGACCCTCGCTCAGTACATGGGGAAGGAGGTATGGAAAACTCCCTCGAAATTCCCAGAGGATTGACTCTTGCTCACATGCTCAGAGAGGTGAACCCACTTGCGCACAGCGTGCACTCAGGATTCATACCCAGGAAGTCCAGCCCACTCTCAGCTACAGTGTCATTGTTTTTTTTGGGGGGGGTGGGTCTGAGTGCAAACTGAACACAGTGTTTCCTGGTATTTATGTATGTGGTTGCTTTATCACATAAGTAATCCATGTTTATTATAAAATAATTAGAAAATACAAAAAAAGAAAAAATTAAAACCACAGCCACCCACTTCCCAGCACCTGGACGGAAGCCCTGTGAGCACCTGCGTGAGCCTCTGTGAGCACAGGTGCAGCTTCCGGCAGCAGGACTGTCCCCTGGAAATAGTTTTGCAACTTCTCTTCTTCCCCTTACAGTAAATTAGATCTCTCTCTCTCTCTCTCTCTCTCTCTCTCTCTCTCTCTCTCTCTCATTAGCAAGCATTTGTCTACATTGTTTTGTTTTTACTGTGAAATGTTCTCAACAGAAATATATATAAAATGTAACAATAGGAATGCCAGGCTGGGGTGCCAGAGCCCTGCATTGTATTTCAAGGCCCTGGGGTCAACCCTCAGCACCCCCTTCCCAAAATAAGGATGCTGGGTGTGTCCCCCACCCCTGGTTCCTACACAGACATCACCAGTGGCCTAGGAGGCTAGGGTGCCCTGACTAGTGATTCTGCCCACCCCTCAAAGGTCACCTTGGCCCTGATTTGGGGGTTGAATATGCCCTTGCCTCTCCTTACAGTTTTGTTTTATACCAAGGATTGAACTCAGGGGCACTCAACCACTGAGCCACATCCCCAGCCCTGTTTTGTATTTTATTTAGAGATAAGGTCTGAGTTGCTTAGCACCTTGCTTTTTGCTAAGGCTGGCTTTGAACCTGCGAATCTCCTGTCTCAGCCTCCCGAGCTGCTGGGATTACAGGCCTGCACCATGGCACCCGGCTCCTGATGGTTTTATTAGTGGCACCTCGGGACATTCCCCTGCTTGCTTTTGAGCAGCTGAGGAGCAGCACCCACCTGGCTGGGGAGGAGCCAGGAGGTGGTCTCCTGGGAAGGCAAGACTCAGTTAAACCTCAGGGCACAACCGGCCTCAGCCTCCAGGAGCACTGACGTGAGTCCCCAGTGGGGCTGTCAGAGGACAGGGCTGTGGGTATCCTTGTTGGGATGCCCGGGGACCTCTAGAACTGTCTAAGGACATTGAGCAGGAAACGGTCAGGGGCCTGCTCTGTTTTGTCTTCTTGCTTCTGAGTTCACTGCACGGTATTCGGATCTCAGGAGCAGGGTGTGATGAACCCAGCCTAATTCCATCTTAAGAGTTGGAGCCGGGGCTGGGGATGTGGCTCAAGCGGTAGCGCGCTCGTGCGGCCCGGGTTCGATCCTCAGCACCACATACAAGCAAAGATGTTGTGTCCGCCGAAAACTAAAAAATAAATATTAAAAAATTCTCTCTCTCTCTCTTAAAAAAAAAAAAAAAAGATTGGGAGCCTCTCGCCACAAAGTTAGTTTCTGTTTTACTATAAATTACTGCAATTTCTAAACTTGTTTGGGATTCCTGCCTATGCCTTGACTCACCCATGCCTGGCTCCCCCAACCACATAACAACCCTCTGAAACCTCAGCGGCGCCTCATAAATTCTGATGTTGGGATCTGAATTTACTCCCTACCTTGAAATATCAAGCCATGTGGATCATTAACCTCCTAACTTCGTATTATGCTTGTCAAAATCCTGTTAGCTGTAAGGTCTCAAGACACCCCCCCATTTGCAACTTTTTGTGCTATAAAACCTTGTTCCTGGAGAGCTGGGGGCTGTCTCTAGCTCAGGGTTTTCGGGAGAGACAGTCACTGGCCAGCTTTTGTGTTCATAAATACAAGCCTGCTTTATTTTTATTTAAAATCAGAGTCAGTGATCTTTTCTTTGCGTCAAGTTTCAACAGTGACGTTGCATGCTTCTGGACCAGGTAGACCGTGTGTCCTCAGCTGATCCAGGCAGCAGGGCACAGAGTGAGGAGGACAGGGCGCCATCAGGCTGTGATGAAGAGAGGCCAAGTTCAGACAGGCACCTGGGTTGGACTCACCAGAAGTTCTACCTTTTTTTTTTTTTTTTTGGTACC